TAACCTTACTTTTTTCCAATTAATATTAAAGCTTACTTCAGCCCGTGTCTAAAATGACCAAAAGCCACTGTTGCTAACTTCAGCCCGTGACTAAAACGCCATAGAGTTACAGCTTATCAATGGTGGAGTAGATAATATTATTTTTATTTAGAAGGCTTACATATATTTATGCGAAAATATTTCTAAATTATAGAAACATTGTTTTTAAATATGATTTAAAGTGTGCTCAATAGGTAAACGTTTACATGCAATTTTTGCGAATGGTAAGCAGTACATAAATAAGCAAAATATCAAAATTAAGTAAACAAAACAAAAGTAAACAAGGTAAGAATTTAGAATTTTAAAAATGTTGGTAATTTATAAAATAAAAAAATTATCAGGCTTGCACGTAAAATAAAACTCATTTCAGTGATCAGTGCACGCTCTTTAAGATAATTACTTAATATACTTTTTTATAATTATTTTAATAAAAACCACATGTATGTAAGTTACGTGTGTTTTAATATTGATCTTTCCAAATTAAATAATAGAATACAAATAAAAACTAATTATTATTAAGTTGGCAAGCTTTAACATAATAAATAAATAGTTATTTGTTTTACAAGTGTTGAAAAGCGACTTTTTCATGCAAGTGTTTAACATGAGCTTGAAGAAAGCTTTTCTCACAAGTGAAACACAATGTTTTTTCTACGACGGTTTTATTTTTTATTATATTCAAATACAAAACAATATAACCTAAAAACGTGTTTGACAGCTGTTAAAATTACTGTCATCTTATTCTTTTATTTTTTAAGGTATAAGTTACTTAAAATTAATAAACTTACCTTTTCAATTTAAATAAAGGCCCTAAAATTGGAATTTATTATACAAACACAATTAATTGTGTTCTAAATGATATTTAGACATACATATCCAAATACAATACAAATTTTGAAATGAATGTCTAACGATGCTGTCAATTTCTTTTCACACAGACTTGTCACTTTACATTCGTGTTTTGCCTTGCCAATGAAAAGATTCATTTTCTAAGCAACGATGCCATTACGAAATGTGACTTTTACAAAGTGGTCGTAGAAAAAAATAAATATAATACTCACTTAGTACGTTTTAAATGTATCTAAATACTTTAAATTGGATAAATATATTAGAATACTATTTTATTCTAATAACTGTAATTTTTTAATAAGAAAAACGGATGCAACTTGAATTTATATTTTTATTAAACATACAATTTTAAACAATAATTGTCAATTAAATATCTAAAAAAACTTATCTACATGAATTAAAATAGAATATTATATTTCAATTTTTTGTTTGAATACGGACGCCCCTGAAGTCCTTCATTTCTATATAAGATATGGTCTAAATACTAGTACGTTATATTTTTCTCTTTATTCGATTTAAGATTCTGGAGAAAGCAACAAGTAAACTATAGTGTTAAATAGACGGTTTTGTTTAATTTTTTCTAGTTCGTACATTTATTTTCAAAAAATGTCTCAGGCTGCTTTGTTGTTTAAGATTTTTGTTCAAACGTTAGTTTCCCTTGTAGTTATTTTGTGTCTTACGGAATGCGTTTCTGGTTAGTATTCTAAAATATACTTTAAATGTAAGTAGGTAAGCCATTTGTATTAAAAATACTCCAAACGTAATTATTATTCAACTATAGTACAATATTAAAAATACATTGAAATTACATAGTGTAGGTAAAATGTAAAATGTAAAATTAGAGGTCACTGTAGAATAAATTCATGCACATAACCTGTAACGTTTGACGTCAACATTATCTACCTATGACAAAATGTCGCAAAATTAAGAATTTTAATGTAAGTGGAAAATTTTTAAACGCTGTAAAGAAATAGTACCTATATACAACACGGCAGATAATAAAAACATACTAACTGCCTCGCTCAGATCTGCGACCTTGGCTAAAACCTCGGCAGCGAACACTGAGCTCGGCTGTAATATAATCGCTTTTTCTGCCTGTTATATATTATACTATTTTTTTATTTTTTTCCCTTGTAATTATAAAAAAACAAAATTAAATATTGATGTGGGCTAATGAATTTTATAAACAATTTATTATTATGTATTATTAACAAATTTAATAATAATTGGCTATTAACATTTTTGCATGGTTTAAAAAAGTATTTTTTTACAAAAATTCTAGGAAAAAAAAGCATCGATAAATTTATAAAACACCGTGCATATTTTTAAGTTTTTAAATCTTCTGATTTTAAAAATTTAAAGTTTGTACCTATATATTTGTGTTAAGTGTTTTGTTAATATCTGACCTGAAAATTATGCTAAATATAACGCGAGAATCATGTTTGCCATCGATTAAGAACTTTTACCTCAAAATAAGCATGGCGTTTGAAACAATTATTAGTTAAAATAGGCCAGATTTTTGGTTCAATTATTAAAAAATTGTTTAATTTAAACATACAAATTAAATATTTTTTAAATTAGAATAAAAAAAATATTCAAAAATGTACAGGTTTTCATTGAAAAAAAAAACAATGTTATAAAATAGATATTTTATATATTTTATAACATTTTTATTTATTTTATTTTAATTTTTGTCACAAAATAACTTTTTTAAACCATGCAAGCTAGATTTTTTAGTTTTTTAATATCTTTTTAAATAAAGATTTAAGGGGTGCCACATTCATACTAAAACACCCTGTACACAATATGGTTCATAAAATATTGTTGTAAATAAAACTGTTTAATTAATTTTTGCTTGTAATAATTGACTTTTATAAATATAACATTTGATAATATAGAAAATGTAAATAAGTTTATTATTAAATGTCTAAAATATCATTTTATATTTTATACAATTACTAAATTTTTTATATATTTACTAAATTACTAAAATTACAAATAAAAAGGTAAAAATTTGATATTTGTTATATAAATATTAAAGTATATCCATTGCTATTATTTTAAAGTTTTGTTAAATGATATAAAACCTTAAAAAATTATTTAAATAAATATGAAAATGACACAACTTTTTAAATATAAAAACATTTTTTTTTAAGTTATTACACCGAAAAAAATAATGTGGTTGAGTTAACATTTGCCTAAATGTCATTTTTAAAAATGTTGTTTCAACAAAAAACCTATTGGATTAATCTATATTTTGGTGTTAAAGCAAAAGTCAGAGTTTGTCAAAGTTTATTTGTTCATTTGACAGTTTAAATATTAATTTAACATAAACTAATATTTTGAATTAAAATGTTTATCGTACTTTGATTTAATAGCTGGAATTTGTTGAATCAACTACTGAAATTTTTAGGATTACCTAAAAAAACTATTAAATTAACGTTTAGTTGCTCTTTAATCCAAAACTTTAAATTTGTTCATTTAACAAATTTAAAATGTTACTTTAAAATTTAAAATGTAAAATTTGCATTCATAAAATTGCCGAGAATGGCGCTTCGAACACTCACGCCACGTCATTAGACAATGACGTTTTCTTACATCTCGCCTTAGTTAGCTTACGATTAGGTGTATATAAGATGAGATATCTGTTTGTTTAAGGTGTGTTCCACAGTAGAACTTTCACTACACCATATTGCCCGACACTGTTAAGACCCTCAATACAGGGCGAAACAGTCTGTCGGTATTTGAAGTAGGTGGAACACATGATACAAAGATGTATCATGGGTGGAACACGCTTAAAACAAAAACTCTGGGCGAGGTGAAGGTTCAATTCTTTCTATTTATATATAATAATATATTATTTCCATAATTTTGTTTTGGATACCAACCTTTAAAGAATTTTACATTTTCAGAATGTTAATTTAACATTTTATTGGTGTTAAGTGAATATGCTAAAAAGGTTACCTGGACATTTCAAGAAATTTACCTTAACACCCTAAGAATGTTAAATTAACCAAATTAGCAGATTAGAACAAATATTCTTATTTTGTTCATTTGACTGTTATTTGTTGTTCAATTAAACAATACAATTTGACATTTTTAGATGGTTAAGTAAACGTGCAAAAACCATTGCTTGTATTTAAAGTGCATAAAGAGTTGAATTAATATTTTTTTTGTTGTTTCAACAGCTTATTTTTTTCAGTGTAGTAATTGAAGCTTCGCAACATTGTTATGTCACAGGATATTATAATCTTTACCTATTTAAACATTCAATGTCCCCCAAAAACAAAAATGTTTTTTTTCTTGTCCTGCACTCCACTAGCCTAAATCGGGCGCATGGCCCGGCGACAAAATTCCGGAAAGGGCCTTAACCATTGAAACTGTTATCCACGACCTCCTAAGAGAGATTTACCAGCCGGGGTAAAAATTCGGATCTTAAACACAGGTAATGCTGTGCAGTTGTAGGATACGTATGAGAACTAAAAAATGCTAAAAATAACTCTGGGAGACGTAAGGCAGTGTAAGGCGATGCCGATGGGGCCAACCTATACTCATACTCATTGAAAAAAGAAGGTATATATTTTTAATAATTTAAAAAATTGATTTTTATTCTTTTATATAAGTGGACAAAATATAAAAAAAAATGTAATCCTTATATAAAAATATAATACTTAAAATAACTCTCCCTGCAGATTTATACCGTTATTGCGCCATTTTCGGGACACATATAAATATATTAATTTACGTTCAGTTGTCAATATTTTCGTCAACCATTGGACCATTTCTTATATGTATTTGCATGCATCAAAAAACAATTTTTATAAATTTTAAGAATACAGTCAAATTATAGAAATATCTTGTATTATTATCTCTACAATTAAACCTATAAAAATTTGACTCCAATAATACTAATTGCAAAATTGACGTGCGTAAAATAGGCGTAAAACGTTGGCGGAGGGGCGTTGCAAAATGTTACTGTATAAAAGGCAGGGATGCACAAGATCATGTCAGAGTGATTTCAAAAGCCTGTTGCGTTGGCATACTTCTGTGTTTGCCAGTACAATAGCAACAGGTATTCAAAATTTAGAAGAAATAATAGTTATTTTGTGATTTGTTTTTAAAAAGTTTTTGTTTGAAGTGCACAATGCCGGTTTCATTAAAATTTTCGGCAGTCGCTATTTTATTTGCTATGTTTTGCTATGCCGAATGTTCCGGTAAGTCAAACAAAAAACTAAAATTATACATTTTTTAAATAAATATACGTCAAAATATTATTTGGCCGCATATCACGTAAATAAATTCTATTATCCATTACTAAATAATTATAAAGTACTTATATGGATTTTATATCCATTTATCAATGTATATTTTACACAAAACTACAATAATTAACCAAGGCCCCATTTTTTTTAATTCCGTATCTCATACATATTTTTTTTTAACTATTTGGCCTTTTAAAATTAAATTAAAAACAAAAAATATTTATTTCAGTTTTACCAAAAACAGTTGTTGCCAAAATTGTGGAAAAATTTATTTAATGTGGTTAATTATTTTGAAAAAGGATGATATGGAGTCCTTAAGATACCCCACAAGTATTTTAGGTATTTGTTTTATTTACAACATAAATATAATTAAAAAAATACTTTTTAAAGTATTTAGACATGTATTTTATACGAGTTTTGTTATACTTGTGTGTACAATGTACATAATAATATTATGTATGTATTACATAAAGTCCAATGTACAAACATCTTTTCTAAATGATCACTCAATGGGGTTTTAATATAAGTTTAATATTAGTTTTTATACTTTGGGTCATTTAAACCACTTTAAATTGTTGTAGGCAAATACTATAAACATACTTTTTTACTAGTTGCAGTATTTATACAAAAAATATTTTTAGCTCTTGTTTATTTAAAAATTTTGTATTATAGAAAAATTTTATTTTTTTATATAAATACGATGGCGTCATTTTATTTTTTATTTTATAACTTAAATCAAGAGTACGGTACACAATTCTTTGGTTTACATTCATTTAATTTAGGACCTTTAACGTAATCTTAATATGTAGGAGTATATCTATTACACTGCTATGTAGTTCTCATAGGGCCGGTTTTTCAATCGTTGGTTAAGTTTATCTTACGGTTAATTTCCTAAGATACTATTGTTAACACAATAGTATCTAAGAAAGTTAACCGTAAGATAAACTTAACCAACGATTGAAAAACCGGCCCATAGATTTGTTTTGTAAAACTTGTAATTGTTTTTTTTTTCATTTTTATTCAAAAGAAATAATATAGAGGAATAATAATAAGTGTGGTGCTATAATAGATTTATATAATAGAATTTTAGTTGACATACTAGGATCGTTACCTACTCGCCTCATAAAATTTATTTTCTTAGACATTTTGTTGATGCTTAAGTTGTCGTCTATGTTTACTCCAAGATATTTAATTTCATGCACTTTTTTAATTTTCAATTTTAACATCGTGTAAAATATTTACAAGTTTTGAAATAGCATATTTTTACCTATCAACATATATTTGGATTTACTAAAATTTTAACATAAATTATTATTACAGAGCCAAGAATACAATTTAGATTATTAATAATACACTGAAACATATAATCTAAATTATCACCTATTATATACATCATTATATCATATTTCAAACCTACACATTGAATTATATCATTGATGTATATGTTGAAAAGAATAGGACCAAGTACAGTGCCCCGAGGCACACCATAATTAGTTTTTACTTTTTTAGATAAGATATTTTTATATTTTACTTTTTGATATCTATAACCCAGATAGCACAAAGAAGTACTGGAAACGTCCTGAGTATGTCTTGTATCAGATATTAGTAAGTCTCGAGTACGTCCGAATCAGGTCCTGAACCTTCCCCAGGACGTACCAGGGACATCCGATGTTACCAAATCGTCGGTCTCCAGAACGTCCTAAGTAAGACATCCTCTGGCCGTCCTGAAATACTTTATTGGGAATTATTGGACAAGCTCTACAGAATTAAAGAGAGATATTCCCAAAGGGTCTAAGTGAAAAAAATAAAATTGTGAGTTATCAATGAAAAACAAATATTTTGAACATATAAATGTTGGAATATTTTTTTTCTACTTCTATTATGGAATATGACCGTTCTAATATCACTTTTATCTATGGAATGACATACATATATTCCGTAAAGTGTTACAGAATGAAATATTCTATCATCTGATGACCGAATAAACACTTGTGGCGACATCTCTGTTTTTAATATCTAACAAATTTTAGTCCGATCCAACCTCAATTTCTTCCAATTAAATTATTTGTCTATGGTATTTTGGAAACGTAGAAAAAGTATAGTCTGAAACACGTTTGGAATTGTATATTCCCCTCTCGTGAAACCGTCAAACTCGCCTTCGGATCGTGTGACAAACTTTTCACTCGAGCGGAATATGCCGTATTCCAAACTTGTTACAGAATATACTATTAAGTCATTCTGCATGACAAACTATTTTTAAATGATAATATATTATTTAGCCAACTTGACACTTAGACCCTTTGGAAATACCATGCTTCAGTTGCTAAAAAAAATCCTCCTAATTAAATTTTTTCCAACTTACACAACCATTTATTATAACTTTTCCATCAAAATCAATATTTTCTAGGAACTTGAGTTATAAGTGATCACTTATGAGGAGGAAGATATAAACTTGCAATTAGATACTTTTTATTTGCTATGTATGATTCTATACATTTTATAACCTTTATGAGTTTCAAAGAGACACAATAACAAAGGTTTCCAGGTTTTAGCTAAAATACATATAGGATAAATTTTAGTAGGCCCTGACAATTAAAAGCAACTATTTTATTAGTTGACATTAAATGCTACGGACTGAAGTTAATTCTTTTACTTGCATTTTCAAGTGCTCTTTTAAAACAGGGGATTATGATTACAATCAATTTTTATATTAAATTTTTCCTCGGCAACTTAAGTAGTAAAAAACTAACTAATGGTCAAATTCTGGGTAACCTGTAAGGAAATCTGTAACTTTTTTATAGGTTTCTAAAATTCTTTACATATTAATACGAAAAAGAATGTATATTTTTATACAATTTAAAATACGCATTATTGTTCCTGTTTATGGGTAACTTGTAAGCAAATCTTTAACTTTTGTTAGTGACCAAATATTTAATAGTACTAAAATAGTTATTGAATAAATAGAGTTAATATATCCCAGCAAGCACAAATATTCTCAGGACGTTCTTGGACCAGTCTAAATGTCCCAGAATGGGATGATCCTATAACGACTTCCGGAGGACGTCCATAGGTTGACCTTATCGAAGATTAGATATTTTTTAGGTCCCATTTTGGGATATCCTAGGAACGTCATTTAAGGATGTCGTTAGGACCTAATAATATCCTAATTAAAGCCTAAAATGGGCTGGTCATAGGACTAATCCCAGAGATATTCTCAGAATGTCCCGTTAGGTTTTGGTAAACATGTTATAATTTTTGGTTATTTTGTATGCACATTTTATTCTAATAATTAAAATACATTTTTTTGCATAACTTATTTTGCATAGGCACATCTTAAAAATGGCAATCAATATAATTATGATAATATTATATTATATTATATTAATTTTTTTAGTTTATAAACGACTTGCATATTATACTTTTTCTACGACGATCACAAAAATTAAATAATTTTCAACAATTATACATAAATATAAATATATAAATATTTATTTATAAAATCTGACATCGACCTGTCTATTTTAACCTCACTTGTAATTATTTCGGAAACCCAACGTTCAATTTTTTTTCTGTTTTAACCATTTTAATCAGAAGAAAAAATGCCACTAATTTGCTAATTTAATCGACTTTGTAGCTCCACAAATAATGGTGAGATAAATATACACAGTGTTATCTGCTCACCATTATTATTGGAGCTACAAAGTCTGTTAAATTAGCAAGTTAGTGGAATTTTTTCTATATATAAGTATGTTTGTATATTATAACTATTATATTTATTTGGTATTAATATTTATTTAACATTTAGAATAAGTGTTTATTTGTCATTTTTGCAAGCACTGTAGAAAAAACTCTAAAACGCCTTCATTATTCTTTATGAAATTTTGGATAAAAAATACTTCAACTTATATCTCAGTTTACGTGTTCGAGGGTTTTTCGAAAAAAATTTTTAAAGCCCTTTTATTTAATAATGAAAAAACGTTCGAAAAATAACTTTTAGAGAAATTTTGATTATTTTGCTGAAAAGTGGTAATTTTTGAAGACTTTGAATCGCTGTATCTTCGTTGCTGTTCATTTGATTTGTACAAAACTTTTAGAGTATACTAACAAAAATACGGTCTTTAACAGCATATTTTTTATTTACTTGAAAAAAATTACCCCAAAAGTTTTTTTCGAACGTTTTTTTTCATTATTAAATAAAAAGGCTTTACTCGAAAAACCCTCGAACACGTAAACTGAGATATTTGAGAATTTTTATACAAAATTTCATAAAGAATAATAAAGGCGTATTAGATTTTTTTTATAGTGGTTGCAAAAATTATGGCCAACACTGTATATATATATATATATATATATATATATATATATATATATATATATTTGTTATACTTTAAATTAACTAATATTAAATAAAAATGTTTATTTAACTTTAAAAATCAAAAGTTTAAAAAAGTTTGTGTTCAATTTTTTAGGCAAATAAAATCCATGTTTTGTTACAAAGTTGTTTGATAAATCAAAGTTAACGTCAAAGTAATGCAAGTAATGTTATCTCAGGAGTGTTATGCCGATTTTTGAATTATTATTATGTCAAATTTTGGAGAAATTATTGCCTGCATAAGTTCACCTTATATGGAATAACAGATGAAAAGGATAATGAAACAAAAAATTTAATACGATGAAAAATTATAAATTCAAATTACTTTACTTTTTAGCTAACAGCTGTTAATTTTAAATTATAATTTTTAAATATTTTTAATTATATTTTTATAGAAACAACACACTTTCTAAATATAAGTGTTTTTTTAGTCCCACATGCCAAATGGTTTGTGCGGGTAAGGGGTAGGAACGGACCACGGTATTAAAGTCCCCTCCGGACACAATATTAGAAACACAAATTAGAAACCCCGACCTCTCGGTTTGTAGACAGCAGCACTCTCCACTAGTCGGCGGTTAAAATAACGTTACATTTTAACAAATTTATTATAAAAATAAAATTTTGCATTTTGTTGACCAGTGGTATTAAATGTTATTACCAAAAACACTATATTCTCTATAATGTTCTTGGTTATTACAATTATATACAATTAAAAAAATAAAACAAATTAAACAGGGTGTCATGTTATAAGTTTTCATTACTTGTGGGGATGATAGTTGGTCAAAGTAAGCAAGTTTTTCTTGTTTCCCTTTTGCATTAGTGCTACTGTTTTTGAATAAAAAAATCATAAAAATTTACTTAATTCTTACTAAGTAATAAAATGTAAAATTGTCTAAAATATAATAATGTTTTTAAAATTTGTGATATCGCCCCTTAGGTTTTAATATAAAATGTTTTAATAAGTTTTAAATATGCTTTGATATATTTAATGTCTGATTATGGCAAAAATAGTCGTAGCCATGCTCATGGTAGCGATATTATCGCTTAAAGGGCCTTCTGTGACTTATTTGAGATGCATTTTCTATTCGTGCTATCCATTCTTCGCATGGATTCACTGAGTTTTTAAAAACTAAACTTTTAATCAACCCCACAAGAAATAATGCAAAGCATTTGGATTCGGCGATCTTGACGGCCATGCAATATGTCCTCTACGATGGATTTGTTGGTTGGAAGACTGTTCCCCTTGTACAATAATGACGTGTTGCATATTACATTTTACTTTTTCTGAAAAAAATGGAGGTTTAAAAGTTTTGGTAAAATAAATGGTCCAATTAACAAGCCATTTAGAATGCCAGTCAACATATTAACAGAAAGGTGATCTTGAAAATTAGTTACTTGTACAGCTCTAGGATTCTCTACAGCCCAACATGTGTGTTGCGGAAATACCATTCCATGGCTTCATTTATCACCAAAAACCATCTTAAAAAGTTACTGAAGTTGGCATTTTTCTCTAAAAATTTGGCATTTTGCTAAATCCAGAATGTGTTCCTCCCGCTAAACATTGAGAGTGCCTCAGACGCCCGTGTCCTCCACGATACACCCGTGAATCGGGTAATAAACGAATTTTCTAAAAAAAAAAATTCTTTAAAATTTAAGAAATTAAATACTGCAGACTTAAGTTTATTTGGCGTATATTTATTCCATTTTATTGTATAACCGGAAGGCACCTTAATTTTTATAAATCTAAGACTGCACTGTTCAAAATTTCATGACCATTTTAACACCAAATTAACACCATATATGGTCTATATCGATACAAACCAAAATGGTGTTAAATAGGGTTCGTTGGTCCGGTGTAAATTCAAATACTAAAATAGTGATAATTTAACTTTCACACAGTATTAAAATAAATTTTACCTGGTGTAAATTAAACTCCTTTACAGTGTTAAATATTTTGTGTTTGTGGTCAAATTAAATTATACTACACAGAAAAAAGGAAAAAAAAGGAAAAAGGAAGTTCCTTGACGCATTACTAGTATATTACCAGTGGTATTATTCCAGAAAATGGAACCTTCAACTCGCTAGAGATAATGTTTTTAGTTCGTTCCACTAACTTAAAATACTTCAAGTATTGACAGCTGTTTCCACTTATTTAAGGTCTCATTAGTATCGAACAACTTGTAGTGTCACACTAAAGCAAAGGACTACCTGAGCTTATATATTCTTCATGTAAGTCAACAGAGGCGAGATTTAAGAACATAACGTGATCCACAAAAAATAAATACTTATGGGTCAACTAAATTAATATAGTTAAATGAACTATTCCTTTTTTTCTGTGTAGGTGCACTTCTCAAATATTTTTAGATAAACACCGTTTTGCTGTTCATTTTTAACCATAATTCATGGTGTTATATTAACACCACTTGGTGTTGGATTTTGACACCATTTTAGGATTTCTCTTTATACCACAGATATTTTAAACAGTGTGGTTATAGATATATGATTTTAAGTCTTATGTACCCTGCTTGCAAACAGAATTGTCAAATTAGATTGCGAGCAGGGTTAGCAGATAACTTACTGGATCCCTCACCCTAGTAAGTTTACGAACAAGACAAGGTGATCGAGGTAGTAAACGATCACCAAGTTATCCGGGTGAGGGATCCGTCACACAAGTAGGTTTCTGAATTTTTTTTTTAAATATTGAGATTTACTTGCACAAAATACATATATTGATACCTTAAACTGTAAGGCTTAAAAAGACAGTGGAACAAACAGGTTGTATAGCTTTTTATTAAATAGCTTTATCCCTGTGCGGATTTTGAAAAGCTTACAACATGCTCTCTGCCTTATGCAGGGCCTTTATGCAGGGCCGGCGGAAGGGCCAGTCGACCCGGGCGATTGCCCTGAGCGCCTAATGCAAGAAACGCCTCACGACTGACAAAATAATCAACAGGTTGGTGGACCACAGCTTCACTAGGAGGCTCCTAGTAGGAGCTTACAGTATTGTCAGCACCTTTGTGGCGTAGCGTATCCTATTAACATGCCCAAAACCGTGGCACCATAAGAAATAAGTTTTTTTAAATCAATAATAATAAAAAATAATTTGCGTTCTTTATTATCCCAAGATCGCTAAGTGCGACATAAAAACTTGACTATGAATAAAAGAATTTTTCGACATGAAGACACGAAAATCAGTTTTTTGAATTTTATACAGCAAATTTTTGCGTCTAGTTATTTAACTGTGATTTAATTTATAATTAAAAGTAATATGTAATTATCGGTTTACTTCTTATTTTCTTATTAATAAAAATAATTTTTAAATATGTTCTTCCTATTTTTAATTAAAAATCATATCTGTCAATAAAATCCTATATTTAAAACCTGCTCCTAATAACAAATATAAAGAATATTTCTAATTCCACGAAATGTTTTAACACAGTTATAACCGTGTGTAATAAATACCAATATTGGAAATATTTGTTAAACAAGTGTTTTCTAAAAATTCAAATATTGCAAATGTTCCTTTATTATTGTTTTAACAAATATTTCTCTTCTGAAGCAGCATTCATTACATTTTTCCATTTTATCACTGATAAAATACTCCGGAAATTAAAAGTAACGGTGTATTTAGTAGAAAAAGAGCAAACATTTACACATATTATTTTTGCTTGCAAAGGTTATTTATTAATTAATAAATAATTTTATTTTCAGGGAACTGTCTTAAATATGGACATGCATGTTGGGGTGGTAAGTACTAAATTTTATATTTTAAAATTAAAAAAAATTAACATGTTAAACTTTTAAATTTATTCCAATAAAATTCGCCCTGGGAAAATAATAATTGTCAAGCATTTTATATAAAAGTCCGTACTGACTTTAGAAAAGTTTATAAATTAATTTAAATATAATTTTGTATGTGCTATTGGCTTTAGAAGAATCTTTTATCCAAGGCTCTTGTTTTAAGCTAAAGAGAGTAAATATTTAAATTATAATAATTTACATTTTTATAAAATAAAAATTTAGCTTTATATATAAAGTATAGGGTATACCAATAAAAGTTAATCTTATCCTTGTATACTGCATACTGCCTTCCAAAGTAAAATAATGTTAACTGTTTTTTTTAATTTTCGATTTAATTGGGATAGTGAAAAAATACTGCATTTTAATATGATTAAGATTTAAAAAAACGAATTATTGTTTTTAATTATCGCGATCGACTAAATTAAAATTAAATTAAAAAGCGTTAACTAAAACAAATATTTGAAACGATTACCAATACGTCACAGTTAGGGTTATAAATATAAAAATTAAAAACATAAATTTAATTTATGCACGATGACATTATAATATGACAATTATAACAAAAAATCTTTGACGTAAACGTCTTTTTATAGCCCGCGGGCTTTATTATGGCCCAGCGGGCTATAATGAAACGTCAAAAATTAAAAACAACAATGTTACACCATTTGATATATTCGAAGTAAGTTTTTTCGTATAAAGATTTTGATTTTACCGGCAGCAGGCCGCAATTTTTCGCCTTTTCAGCTGCTTCCTCAATTTCATTTATCTTTAAACTTTAAAACTGACTGATGTCAGTTGACATTATAATATGACAATTATAACAAAAATTCTTTGACGTAAACGTCTTTAAAAACAATAATATATTAAAAATAATAATATATTAATCGTGCATAAAGTTTTGTATGCATTGCTGGCATAACTGGTTTTTATGGTCCTACGACGCTTTTCTAGCCCTCGCGCTAACGCGCTCGGGCTCGAAATAGCGCCTCGGACCATAAAAACCTTATTATGCCCTTAATACATAAATAACTATTTAATATAAAATTTTGACAGCCAGAAAATCAGATGTCTAATCCTAACACCAATTTTTAAACTTTTATAGATACTTAACTTAAATGGCGTTTATCAAACTTGATACATAATTTTCTATTTTCTATTTGCGTTTCACATTAATAACATTATAAAACGCGTTTGCATGTGACAATGGGTCGCTATCTCAATTCATCATGGGTTTTTATTTTAAAAATTTGGCAACACGATATGTCATTATATATGTCATATTTATTATTGGAACGTCAATTTGTAGACAATAGTATATTGTTCAATGATTACAAAATTTAGCTATTTCCATGAAGATGTAATATTGCGACACGAGGCGAATGGAAATTGCCATTTTTTAAGAGTTAAACTCTATATTTTAACCAATTTTATTAAAGAATTTATTACCAAAACCATAGATTCAATGACAATTGTTTTACGAAAATAATGACCAGCGTATAATCGTCATAGTTAGAAAATGTACAAATTCTTTAATATGATTAGTAAAAAGATATTAAAAAGATATTGTTTAAGCAAATTTTGACACTAAGCTGACATTTGTTATCACCAATTACTGCATAATAAACCCCTAAAACAAAATATATAATTCGTCATTTTTTTTTTTAAACAAAGTTTTGATTTTTTTAATTTTAAATTTTTGATCTTTATGTACTGGTATGATAAAAATTGGCGCCAAACTTATTTAGATGCTGATACGATGGGTTTTTCTGCATTTTATTAGTTTCAATCGAATTACAGTTAACGGTCCTTTACTTTGGACGAAAGAGTAACCATGTAACCTAGGTAAATAAAGTTGTGCAATTTGAATATCCTGTAACTCATAAACTTAATTTGACGAAAATTCCCGGAAACTTTCCATCGAAAATTCCCGAAATTTTCCGAAAGTTTCAAAAAAAAATTTTTTATTGCGAAAATATTTTTTTTTATGCCAGGGTTTTTTGTGATGAAGCTGAATAATCCGGCTTCATTGAGGTTATGTAACATAACTTACATTATTTATACTTCTTCTTCTGCCTTAAATTAACACACATTAAATTCTTATTCAAAGTTTCTTGGCCTTGTATCATGGCCTTAACGAAAATCAGCGGTTAAACAATTGACATTTAAATGAAAAAAACAAGGAAAGTTTCCAAGGAATGTTTCCGGTAGCTTAAAAGAAACTTTCAAAATGAAAATAAATTCCCAATTGGAAACTTTCCAAAACGGAAAGTTTCCTTAAAATGGAAACTTTCCGATTCCCATCTCTATATAATACCAATAGGTAGTTTGCACTTGGTTTATAATCGTTTACTGTTTTTAAATTAACAACCAAAGTTATCGCTCCTAAATCTATTGATATTCATATTGATATTTATTTGTTAGAATGTTAAAATGTTATTGCATTAAACACTAATTTGATTTATTTAATAACGTTACTATTGTAAATATAAAAATTAAAAACATAAATTTAATTTATGCACGATGACATTATAATATGACAATTATAACAAAAAATCTTTGACGTAAACGTCTTTTTATAGCCCGCGGGCTTTATTATGGCCCAGCGGGCTATAATGAAACGTCAAAAATTAAAAACAACAATGTTACACCATTTGATATATTCGAAGTAAGTTTTTTCGTATAAAGATTTTGATTTTACCGGCAGCAGGCCGCAATTTTTCGCCTTTTCAGCTGCTTCCTCAATTTCATTTATCTTTAAACTTTAAAACTGACTGATGTCAGTTGACATTATAATATGACAATTATAACAAAAATTCTTTGACGTAAACGTCTTTAAAAACAATAATATATTAAAAATAATAATATATTAATCGTGCATAAAGTTTTGTATGCATTGCTGGCATAACTGGTTTTTATGGTCCTACGACGCTTTTCTAGCCCTCGCGCTAACGCGCTCGGGCTCGAAATAGCGCCTCGGACCATAAAAACCTTATTATGCCCTTAATACATAAATAACTATTTAATATAAAATTTTGACAGCCAGAAAATCAGATGTCTAATCCTAACACCAATTTTTAAACTTTTATAGATACTTAACTTAAATGGCGTTTATCAAACTTGATACATAATTTTCTATTTTCTATTTGCGTTTCACATTAATAACATTATAAAACGCGTTTGCATGTGACAATGGGTCGCTATCTCAATTCATCATGGGTTTTTATTTTAAAAATTTGGCAACACGATATGTCATTATATATGTCATATTTATTATTGGAACGTCAATTTGTAGACAATAGTATATTGTTCAATGATTACAAAATTTAGCTATTTCCATGAAGATGTAATATTGCGACACGAGGCGAATGGAAATTGCCATTTTTTAAGAGTTAAACTCTATATTTTAACCAATTTTATTAAAGAATTTATTACCAAAACCATAGATTCAATGACAATTGTTTTACGAAAATAATGACCAGCGTATAATCGTCATAGTTAGAAAATGTACAAATTCTTTAATATGATTAGTAAAAAGATATTAAAAAGATATTGTTTAAGCAAATTTTGACACTAAGCTGACATTTGTTATCACCAATTACTGCATAATAAACCCCTAAAACAAAATATATAATTCGTCATTTTTTTTTTTAAACAAAGTTTTGATTTTTTTAATTTTAAATTTTTGATCTTTATGTACTGGTATGATAAAAATTGGCGCCAAACTTATTTAGATGCTGATACGATGGGTTTTTCTGCATTTTATTAGTTTCAATCGAATTACAGTTAACGGTCCTTTACTTTGGACGAAAGAGTAACCATGTAACCTAGGTAAATAAAGTTGTGCAATTTGAATATCCTGTAACTCATAAACGCTCTAATTTTGTCATAAATTAACCTTATACATATTATGTAATATTTTCTTTAACTGTCAGTATAATAACAATTTATAACCAGCTCACGGTAAAAGAAGTGGTTCCCACACCCTTCCAGTGGAGAAAGAGGAAGTTACAACTAAGGATATCGTTATCCCCAAATGGTTTCTTCAAAAGATCTTGCAAAATCCGCTTGAACCCCGCTACCTGCGAAGAACGAATCAGGACTCAGCAGGGCAACATGGCGAGCAACTTTTTTCAGGCATTGATAATGATTTAAGTTTTAAAGGGTAAGTTTTATTTCTTTATTTGTCATTAAATTTACTTTTATACTAAATATGCTTAAATGTCTAAATAAATAAACGTTTAAGTATTAATTGAGTTCGAATACAAAATTTGGTGTTTTAAACAGATTAATTATAATTAATAATTATTAATAAACCATTTACTTGGGTAAACCGGTTATATTTTTTTGTTTAAATAAAATAAAGTATGAACAATAGAATGATAATACTAAATAATAATATTAGTATTTTTGAATTATTTTTTTATTGTTTGCTGTATTTTGCTAACCGATTTATAAAACAAAATGGACAATAAAATTAAACAAAAAACAAAAATATACATATCAAAGGTTTTCGAGCGCATATTTTAATTTGTCCTCAAAATTGCTTCATTAAGTCACAAGCTCCTGAAAGTGAAACAAATTGTATATTTAAATACAGGACTAAACTTCCACGTCAAAAAAAGTATGCATGTACGTCAGCAGTACGCTACAAAAGCACAAAATGTTCGGGCGCACTGTGTTTATGTATTGTAAATTATCCAGCCATTATTGGATAACAACTATGCCCGATAAGCACTTGGCAAACCATATTATCCCTTGAAGAGCACGAGCCCTATCAGGGAAATATTTTTTTAAATTAAGCTACAAAAACCGCATTTTTAACAATATCCAATTAAAAACCTAAAAACAAACATATAAAGCTTTTTATTAAATTAAAAAAACTTACGTACGACATTTCATACACTGAATAGTATGTATAGTATACATACAGTATTTAGAAATTAATCAATTCATAAGATGATGCATAATATTTATCTGCTCTCACTATGGTAACTAGGCTATTATAATAATAGCCTTATTTATAGTAATATTACATTGTTTTATGGCAGGTAAGTTGAATTTATTGTGAAAGGCTGGTTGACGACGAGAGGTAAGTGAGCTAGCTCACTTACCTCCTATGGGTAAACAACGTCTTAATAACGACAAAGTAATAGCAGACTACGTGACATCCTTTAGTATCAAAAAATTATTTAGTCTCAGTATCAAAATAAATTGATAAAAAAAAATTTTAACTACATTAAAACTAGCTGTGTTAGCAGAAAAAACGTTATACACCACGCAGGAGGTAAGTTTTGACTTTATTGCCCTCGCACGCTCGGGCGCAAACTCGTCCCCGGCTAATAAAATCTACTTACTTCCTTTGTAGTGTAGTAAACTATTAACAACATTATTAAAGTAATTAAATTTTAACATGATTGCTATAAATATACAGGAAGTAAGGCATGCAGAAACTCTAAAAATAATGCACCATTTTAAAGACTTAACACACAGAAAAAAATCTAACATAGTAGGTACCAAGAAAAGCGCTGTCATTGAAAGCTTTAAAATTGAAGCAATCTAAATTGTTATTTGCTCAATTAATTACTATTAAACCAAAATAGGGAAATATTTTACCTAAATGTCAAAGAATTTATTGCGTTAAATGTATACATAGTATACATACAATAGTAACGTTATTAAATAAATCAAATTAGTGTTTAATGCAATAACATTTTAACATTCTAACAAATAAATATCAATATGAATATCAATAGATTTAGGAGCGATAACTTTGGTTGTTAATTTAAAAACAGTAAACGATTATAAACCAAGTGCAAACTACCTATTGGTATTATATAGAGATGGGAATCGGAAAGTTTCCATTTTAAGGAAACTTTCCGTTTTGGAAAGTTTCCAATTGGGAATTTATTTTCATTTTGAAAGTTTCTTTTAAGCTACCGGAAACATTCCTTGGAAACTTTCCTTGTTTTTTTCATTTAAATGTCAATTGTTTAACCGCTGATTTTCGTTAAGGCCATGATACAAGGCCAAGAAACTTTGAATAAGAATTTAATGTGTGTTAATTTAAGGCAGAAGAAGAAGTATAAATAATGTAAGTTATGTTACATAACCTCAATGAAGCCGGATTATTCAGCTTCATCACAAAAAACCCTGGCATAAAAAAAAATATTTTCGCAATAAAAAATTTTTTTTTGAAACTTTCGGAAAATTTCGGGAATTTTCGATGGAAAGTTTCCGGGAATTTTCGTCAAATGGGAATTTTCCCATCTCTAGTATTATAGGAATACGGATTACAAGGTCCCATTGGTTTAATGGCTCACCCATTCATGCTATGCTAGCGTTTTTTCTGTGCAGTAATCGCCAAAACGAGCGGCGAATTTCATAGTTACAATCAAGAGGGTAAAAAGTCACAGATTGCCCAAATCCAGGATCAAAATTGGAGAGAAAAAAATGGTAACAGAGGAAGTTAGATTATATAACAACCTATCTGAAGGGGTAAAAACCTGAATGAAAACCAATTCAAAAAGATTTTAGTCCAGCATATAATAGGCAATAAAAGAAAAGGGATATCTGTGATTATTTATTTATTATTGTAACTTATATTTATTTATTTTTATTGTTATAACTATATCTATACATATGTACCTGTCATAATCTGTAATGGGTTATTTAGGTTTATTTACATCAATAAAAAGAAAAAAAATATTAAAAAAGGATTCACATTAGTCCGTGTCTAAATATGCAAATATGAGTATATTATTTTAAAAATAATATATATATATATATAAATATATATGTATATAACGATATATCGTAATTTTAAGTAGGTAAATATGATAAAAATGCAGGGGCGTGCTGGATTGCCGGGACACCGGGCGAATGCCCGGTGGCCTGCGCTACCATGGTGGTCTGCTGGACTTGTTACGGTATGCAAATAGGGTATACCAAACAAAACGTTTTTTCAAGTTATATCACTAAGCACTAAAATAAATTAAAAAAAAAAGAAAGATTTAATTGACTCCCGTAAAAAAATCTAAAACACGTATTTTTTTGCTAACCCTTAACCAAGAAGTCGCAGGTGGAAACCCTAAACCGTGGGGATATTTTGGATGCTTTCGTAATTATTTTTCCATTTCTTCGAAAATCCAAACTGATCCGGGGCTACTTCGATAAAATGCAATTTTAGTATATTTATAAATTATCGGAGGGGGGATCAGCTCGGATTTATAGAGAAACAGAAACATAATTACAAAAGCATCCAAAAAAGCCCCTTCTCGCAGTTTTTGTCTTGATTTATTTGTGATAATACTTTCCTTTAATATCAGTGTGAAGTGACGTAAATTTGAAAGCTTTTATGCTGATTGCTGTGGAGAGAAAGGTACAAAATTGTTTGGATTGTGACTTAATAATTGAACTAGCTGAAAACAGTTCTTTGTTGCGAAGAGAGTTATCGGGACATTTTATCAGTCGAGGTATTTAATTTTGATGTATTTTTACAATTTATATGAAATTGGCTTGGGCCTGGACTGCTCTACCATCTAGTCCAGGCCTGCATCGATTCTGCCAGCACGCCCCTGTAAAAATGCAAAACCTTTAAACAAATTTTTTGGTCATTATTGTAAAAAAACTTGAAAAAAGAACTTTCCTAATTGATCGTCTTAGGGCCGCTTTATCAATCTTTGGTTAAGTTCCAGTCAGTCTATCTAACAGTTAAATTCTAAATAGATGTGATAACAATAATATTCATAGAGATTATCTGCCAGATAACTAACTGCAATTTTCAATGGACATTGATAAACCAGCCCTTAGTCAAGTTTTGAGCTGCTGCAATTATCTCTTTATTACTAAGTTTATTTAACTTGTTGAGAAACCCAAAACTGATACTATGTAAACTAGTAACTTTAACATTAGAACTAAAACTATACACATTAATTTATTTAAAAGCTTTCTTAAACATGCATAGAACAAATATATAAGCAACTATGCAGAAGATGACAAGTGCGCTTTCCTTATATGCGACAGCAACGTCTTCTAAAATTGTCTCCCTTGCTCCTGTATGCGCTTCGTGTTTTCTGTCTTCTTCACAAAACTTCTGGCTGGCAGATAGTGGAAGATATTTTTGTGACCGGTTGAACACCCAAACACCACATTAAGTTAAACCAAATGGAAATGATAAATGGTGATTACGATCACCAAACTTTTATACTATTTATTTACTAGAACAAAAAAATTAACGTAGAATTATTTTTTACCCAGACAGTGGTTGCGGGGCCTTTGTGATGCGAGCCCATAGGCTGCTGCCTACGTAGCCTATGCTTAAATCTGGCCTTAGTGCCTCCTCGTTTATTCAGTCTTCTACAAACGCATTGAATACGATTACCTTAGTCACGTGAACTTAGTCACAATTAAAGGGGAAGGTGGATGAAGGGTTTAAATAACATGTTTAATAATAAAGAACAAGAAATATTGTAATTGCAATACCAAATTTACATATAACATGAAACCTTCAAAAATATTGTAATTGTAAATAAAAATTAATTTGGTATTGCAATATCTTTTTTTTTTCTTTTTTATTAAAAATGTTACTTAACCCCTTCATCCACTTGCCCCTTCAGGAAAAAGCTGCTGCTGAAGTTAGCGAAACGCTGGGAATTATTTAAAGATCTCAGGCGGCTATGGTACGGCACTATCAAGTATGCATTGATGTCGGTGGTCGGAATTTTAAGCATCTTTTAATGTAAAAACCGTTCTTTTAATAAATCCTGCCAAAATTTCTTGTACGTTTTTGCTTATAAACCCACAGGCGCATGCACTTTGCAATAGTACATTACAGTCCGAACAGTGATTGCCACCCAGCTGACAAAAAAACCTTGCTTCATGATGGAGCCTCCATCGCCACGTCGCGGGGTGCTTTGCGCAAGCTTATGTTCTGCGATCGGACCCCTGCAGGGCCCTGCGACAATTGTAGACCCGGCTTAAAGCCGCAAAAACGTTTGTTTAAAAAAGATCTACCAACCATAAATTTTTGTAACAATAGTTAAGAAATACCCTGTATAAATTTTCTTTAAAGTGTTGAGATTTTAAAATAACAAATAGGCTTAAAAAATACTTAAAAACTACTCGCCAAAAAATGTCAAATAAAATTATCCTAGTTCATCAGGTAATTTTTATGATTTTTTTTAAGATTTTTGACAACCTTAGGCAGTTTTTTAAAATCATTTAAGTACTTATTTAAAAAATGTTTAAAACAAATCACCGTTAAAAACACGTACCCAAAACTCGTTTTTAATGTCAAGCACAAAAATATTAAGGAATAAAAGTTAACATACTTTTGATTAGCACAAAAAAAGCCTTAACTTATTTTCATCGGCGAAATGTTTATAAACTTAGGCAGGTATGTGTTAAATACAGTGGCGTAATAAGCACCCCCGCAGACCCCGCACCGCGGGGGGCCCAGACGGTCAGGGGTCCCATGGCTCACCTTGCCGGCTGTTGGCTCATTATGGGTCAGCTATAAATAAATAAATTAAAGGAATATTTAATTTTTTAAATATTTAATCTTAAAAATCCTAAAGAACTAAACGTATAAGTATTTTTTGTTTAAAATATTAATTTAATTCGTTGATTTTGAACATGCCCGAGAAATAAAATGCGGTTGTAGCGCCATCTATTAAACGCTTTTCCAAATGTTAATAATTGCTAAATTAATAATGTTATTTGTTATATTCTAATTCCATGGTTATTTGGTTTGAAAGTTATGCAAAAATTATTTGTTAAAAATAGTTAAAATTTAACCATAGATACCATAGCTTGAAAAATGTATGCTTGTGTTCTGTTCTTTTTGTTTTTATACTTTTATTTTTAAATTTTAAATAAAACCATAGTTTAAGTACATATATATGTGTTTATATATGTGTATTTATCTGTATTTGTGAACCATGCAAATTACTTTAATGACGTGTACACCCTATTATATCTAGGCAAAGTATAAATAAATATTATTATTATTATTATTATTATTATTATTATTATTAACAATTTTTAAAAAATGAATTTAAATGCAATACGACAAAATATTAACTTTATAGAATAACCATGGTGGATAAACAGGCAACCTGTATTTTAGTATTTTAATAATAAGGTATTAGTTTACTTTTTATCGACAATATGGTTCTTTGCAAATTCGCACATGCGTAAAAACTTATTTTGGTTCATCTTTTGTTAACGGAATTATAATTATATATTTATAAACAGAAAATATTTAGGTAATTATTATCTAAATATTTTTTTAAAAAAATCTTAATAAGATATTATATACCTATTATAGAATTACGAAAATGATCCTGCATATAAAAAGATATATACTATATAGAATTAGATATTTTTAAACCAAAATTAATTAAATATTTTCTGTTTAACTACCAAGATACCAGATACAGCCATTTTTCTTACCTAATCCTTTTTTATTTGCTTATCTTATGTTTGTCTATCGTATACACCTACCTGTCAAAAATTTTAATTTAAAAAATATTATGTATATAATGTGTGTTTAAAAGTACTATGATAAACTAATTTAAAAATTACCTAAGGGTAATAATAAACTTATTACTCATTGTAAAGGGGGCCATTAAAATCGTTTGCGGGGGGGGGCACTCAGAATTTCTTACGCCACTGGTTAAATACAATAATTATACAATTAATTACTTTGAAAGAAAAGTTTATATAATTGTATCTTTTTGCGTAATATATTCGAAAATAATTCCTTTTAAAAAAAGTTTCAAAGTTTAATCTTTAAATGTTCTTAACTTTCATCTAATTAAAATGTTTCCTAAAATGACTAAACTTAAACGCCTTTATAAGAGTCTTCTGTTACAAAGCGTCCGCAAATTTTACACCTCATTAGTAACTTTTTTGTTTCAAGTACATTATACGAAATCATAAATTTATTGCTTGTTTTAAAACCCACTTAGTTATTAATAATAATGATGCAGTTATTTTAATTGTTGTGAAGATTGCAAATCAAGAGTTATATATTTTCAGTCAAGAAGCTTATGATGGATTCGAAGATTTAATCGATGATATGGATTTTGAAGACTCAAAAAGGGACAACTTACCTATGGACAGAAAACCGAAGTTACTACTGGTAAGAAAATAAAAAAAAATTGTATTATAACTTATATTATATTTTTTTTTAGGAAAAAAGATCCACCCTTAAACATTAGTTTGTTTGTTAAACGCGTCTTACCGCAACGTTTTTGGTTTAATTCACAACAAATAGTTCATCCATATTTTTAAAAGATACAATCAAATCAACCTGACCTTATGCGATCCCAAATAATATATAATATGGGCTGGTATTAAGATTATTTGGGATAACACCTTCTATTCGTTAAAGACTGTATTTTAATGTAATTGTGCTTATTTATAATAATTATTAATGAATTAAATTCAAGTTTTATTTTCCCTTAGCAAATTCCTATTTTGTAATTTCAAGATGAATTTTTACGAGAAAATCTTTATAGTGCAATATATTTTAGTGAAACACATGAAAATTGTGATATATAAGTACTAACATTATTTATTACTTATCAGTGTCAAAGAGAAAAAGTAAAAATCCTTTTCTGAAAAAGCTTTTAGATGCATTGTTTTGTATAAATATTTACCAATACACATTTCACATTTTCAAAAAAAGAATTTAAAAGTACAGCCTACGTGAATTGTTTTGTCTTATCTAAAAGGGTAAATACAAAAGTAAAAGTAATACCTAAAACAAAATTTATTAAAATCTTAAATATAACCAACAAAAAACAATAATACAAATGTATACACAAACATAATTTAAAAACGTGATTAATGTTTCCAATATCTTAAGTCTACTCTTGGAATGGAAGCTCCATCACAATCCGCAAATTCATTCCTAAAAAAATAATTATATTTTACAATTATTAAAACAGGTAAGTTATTACAAAATGTCATTATTTTAATGTTTAGTAAAAATATTAACAAAGAAATTTTATATTTATAATAACATAGAAATATTACTTACAAATATTAAACAATTCCTTTATAATAATAAATCATATTTTATAAATTTATAAATTAAAAAGTATATTTATTTTTTATTATACAAAATAAAATGTTTAATTTTTTATTTCAAATATTAAATAAAGGTACCCAAGAATCCAAAACACGATTAAACATACTAGTTTCAAGCTATTATAATTTTAACTTTATTGTCATTAACAATCACACCTATATACGGTGAAAATAATTTAATCCAATCGAATATTTTTTTTCTTTTAGTCTGTAAAAAAACGGTTTATATAAATAAAAAAATTCGGCTACTGTAAGATCTACCTAGCCTCACTTCCTTCTTGAAATAATTATTGTTATAGCCAGTTTTCGTAAAATTATTTGCTTTTCTGTCTACCAAGCTTTTAGTGGTGCATAAATGGTAAAAATTAAATGTTGCAATAAGTTGGATGAATAAATATTTATCATAATATTATAAATATTATATAATATTATATTATGTATTATATTTATCATAATATTATAAATATAGGATTGAAATTTTAAATACACAAAGACGACATAAAAACATACCTTAAAATAATATTCTACCGCGTCGAAAGCGGTGCAATGTCAGTTCTGCGACTCACACAACGTGTGAAAAAATAAAAAAAAATGATTTTGATTTATCTGCAGATTTTTTTTGGAATTGTTGATTGATTAATAAATTTAAATATGTAACAAGCGGTGCCATGTCAGTTCTACCACGAAAGCAAAATGTGGGATAGTTTATTAAATAAAAAATTCAAAAAATACAGTCAAACTCACTGGTGGATTTTGGGTATACCAATATCTCAGTTATTAGACATGGGACCCACACCAAATTTATAATAGTTTATAATGACAATAAATAAACAAGTTCGGCGCAAACAGAATTTAAATTGAAGTTTGCGAAAAAAAGTTGGTTTTTCCTGTTGCCTGTTGCTAATTTATCGACAAATTTAAAATCGAATAAAATCTGTAATATTTGTATTTTTTTAATAAAATTTTAAATTTGTCGATAAATTATAGTAAATAATAAATTGCACCACTTTAATTTGAATTATCTAAAATAGGGGGGCCTGGAGGCGGGTGAGGCAACAGGAAAAACTAACTTTTTTTCGCAAACTTCAATTTAAATTCTGTTTGCGCCAAACTTGTTTATTTTCATTATAAACTATTATAAATTTGGTGTGGGTCCTATGTCTAATAACTGATGATATGGTATACCGTATGGTATACATAAAATCCACCAGCCGCCACTCAAACACATCGAAAGCGAAACTGATATGGGTCAGTTCTTCCACCCACGCATTCCATTGCGTCTACAGAGACTTTAGCAACTTAAGAAAAAAATTTAGCCTTGTAGATGTGAGGAAAATTTTTCTGTTTTTTTTTCACACTTTGCGTGGGTAGAACTGAATGGCATTGCTTTCGACGCGGTAGACTATATTTTTTTGATTTTCAATTTTATTTAAATTTACATTTAATGATAAAATAAAAAAAAATTAAATCATGATGTTGGTTTAGATTGCAATAAAAATATATTTTGTGGAATTGAGACGCCCCAAAACAGTAAAGGAAGTAAGCTATTGTTTTACTAGTTTAATAATAAAAAAATGTTTCACTAGTGGAGCAATGCAAAAAAAAAAATAAGAAAAATTAGATAATTTTAAATAAATTACAGATAATACATACTTACATAAATATGTGAGGCGCTCCATAAAGAGGAAGGAGAAGAAATAAAAGAACAGGCGAGCGTGTTAGACGGCATGCCGCGGCAGTACAAAGAATAGTATATTACACTACAAGGGCAGACAGTGTTAGATTCCTGCCCGGCCGAAAATACAACCCAACCCAACCCGGCCGAAAATACAACCCAACCCAACCCGGCCGAAAATACGGGAAAAAATTAAATGTGTATATCGAAACATATATAACAATATATTGATGCCTGCCCCGACATTTGCGGCACGAGCGAAACCTTCGTAGCCCTTGTAGTGTAATATACTCGAAAATACGTTGTTTCGTCCCCGATTCCAATGCATCAAACGTAAATTTGACCAATGCATCAAACGTAAACTTTCTGCCGTGGAATCGGGGACGAAACAACGTATTTTCGGCCGACGTAAGAAAAGAATGTTTAACGCGTTGTTACATGCAAAATATTTAGGAAAAACTATTTCCGACTTTATATAATTAAAAACCAGTCGTTAATTAGTTTATAACGAACATAATCCAGAAAAAGATTTATGGACGCTTAGACCCTTTTTGTCGGAGCGCGACACAAATGATTTTAAAAATTGTTTTAGTATTAAATTAAATTTTTCATTAAATTCATTCATTAAAAATAATTTAAAAAAAAACAAAAAATATTTTAGAGAAAAGTAAACCTCAAACCCAAAACAAAATAATATGTAAAACTCGTGCGTCAGATAAATGGTAGTCAACAAATAAAAATATAAAATCGTATACTGTACACTTCAAAGTAAATTCCTATATTCAACAATAAATATACAGGGTGAGTTTTAAGTTGACGCGTTCCTTTTAACAGCGTGTAGAAATTAAATAAATATTTTAAGTACATTTTTTATCAAAACTCAAAAATAAGAGATATAGCCCTTCAAAATTTAATTACATTTTTAGCCGGTCCTGGCTATTGTTAACAAAAAACATAACCATAAAAATAAAAATAACAAAATAAACAATGCAAAATGTCATCTATGACAACAAACATAACCATTTAAATCAAAATGACATTTAACAATGAAATGTCATTATTTACTTAAGTTTTTTTTGGGCCTCAATTATTGTTAAAAATGTGTCATTTTCTTAGAAGGTCATTTTGGTTTAAATGGTTATGTTTGTGGTCATAGATGACATTTTGCATTGTTTATTTTGTTATTTTTATTTTTATGGTTATGTTTTTTGTTAACAATAGCCAGGACCGGCTCAAAATTTAATTAAACTTTGAAGGGCTATAACTCGCTTATTTTTAAGTTTTAATAAAAAAGTTACTTAAAATATTTATTTGTCTATCTGATTTCTACACGCTGTTAAAAGGAACGCGTCAACTTAAAACTCACCCTGTATATACAAGTTTTTGAGATAGACTTCATTCTCCAAATTTTCCATAATTAAAAAAAATGTTTTTTCTTATTTAAAAGTATTTTTGATTCCAGTCGACATTTTTGCTTCATATTATCGGTTCAGTAGCTATTTTACCAATTTTCGTTAATATTAAAACTAAAAACTTATAATTTTTAAAATACCAAATACCAGAATGCAGGGTGGTCAAACATTTTTTGCTTACTTAAATTTTGCAAATATATTTTTATTTTTATTATTTTTAATGTGCTTCCAACAGGCACCAGGCCCAATTACAGGAGTACACACTGACACACACAAATAAACAGCCATACCCCTGGTGGATTCGAACCCACGACCTCTCGGCTTGTAGTTTGCAAATATATAGAGGGTGTAAAACAATATGTGGTTTTTAAAACACTATTAGGTATTTATATTTAAATTCAAAATGGGGATTCTTCCTACGTATTTAAATAAAAAATTAATATTAGTACAAACTGTCCATAATTAAAATACTAGGAGTAGGTACTAATGATTTTTAATTTTAATTATGATGAGGTACAAACAACAAAAAATGTTTTTGTTAATGGATTATTATTATTATTATTTAATAGTCTTTCAACGGATATAAGAAACTGTGATAAAATTAAAATATTTAAGAAACTTGTGATTGTATGTGTGTAAAACTTGTATTGTGATATTTTGACTACGTGATTTTTAATGAAATTAAATGTCAAATTTGTTTTGTAATTTCTTATGCTTATAAATGATTAATATTGTAGCGAGTACCGCTCTGGATCTCGGAATGATGATTCATCGGCGGTGAGTCAGCGCTCGAACAATCGAGAGCGGTGTGGAGCTCGCTGGAATGTTCAAGAAGGCGCTTGCGTGTCTAGTGTCACGTAAGCACTGAATATATAAGGAGCAGCGCGGCATGGAGCAGTTAGTCTAGTTTTGGTACTCGCGAAATAAATAAATATACGTGCAAATAAATAGACTCTTCAACAGTAGCGATATATAAATATTTAGTAGTTAAATGTTTAGTTAGTTTTATAGTTTCTTAGTGTTTTAAGTGTAATTAAGTTATAAATAAATAGTTTAGTTCGTTAATAAACCACTGCGTGTTTTAATTCACAATACGAACAGTAAAAACGTTACAATTTTATTATTATTATAATTATTAAGGTTATGTATGGAACAACAAAATTCCTATAGACATGAAATTGTGTACAAAATGAAAATTTTAAAGTTGCTGCTGTAATTTTGTATAAAAATTGGTAAAAATAACTACTTTATCTCATTATGACACATACGAAAAATTGACCATATCTCAAAAACTGTATTACTACTTTTATTATTTTTTACGGCATTTTTTGATTCAGTTGACAATTTTAAATAGGAACTGACTGTTATAAATTATAACTTATAATATAATTTAATGTCCGGGATACAAATAGATAATAAAAATGACGATAGTGATTTTGATTGGAATCCAACCTGTAATTATAAAAATACTTACCCAGGTACACCTGGCTGCCTAAAGGCATTTATCGCTTGACGACCCAAAAGAATACCATCACTATTATCACATATAATTCTTGACATGGAGGCCTTTCTAATTTCACGAAGTTGATCTAAAAAATATATATATATAAGTTTTGGGTAGTATGTATAATAATGTTTTACCTGGTGTAAAATATCCAGGATTAATACTTGGATCATTTTCAAAAAAGTACTTATCTCCTTTTTTTAATCTTGAAAACTGGTCTGCAATAATATCTCTAAAAGTGTAACCAACTAAACTACCTGGTGCCTTTGGTTCAAGAAGTCCTCCGACCCATAAGTCCAAGTCATCCACTGATTCATAAACTTTGGACAATTTTTCTGCCATCTTTAAAACAAAGATATATTATTATTTTATTTAAATTATGATAATTATGTTCTTACATCTGGTCTAAATTCTTTAAAACTCTTTATCCTTGGTTGACCTGTGAGTTCTCTGTAATCATTATAAGGTCTTAATCCGTGATCTCTGCCTCTTTGAATGTTTAAAGCGGCCAAGTCCACACCAAATGGATTTCCGCCCCTGAACATATACCTTGTCAACTAAAACAAAATATTATAATATAAATTAAAAATAAAATTATAAATTGCAAATGCACGTTATTTATTGTTCTGACCTAGTTTTAAAAATGAGTTCAATTGGGAGGCCTATTGCCAAAATTAAAAAAATTAAACAATAAAATTTTGCAGGTAAGAAAAATACTCCTTTAAAGTCACCTTCAATAAATTAATATATTATTAAATTCAGGAATAATTTATTCCTGGTTGGAATATACAAAATCTATGCCGAGTGAAATTTTGTTTAAACCAATTTATAGGAGCGTTTTTTTATCTCTTTTAAAATGTTATTGCTTGGAAATACCTGGTTATTGCACTGAAATTAAAATGTGTACAGCAAGGGCGTTACGAATGGTGTGAACAAAACCTTTTGAGAGGGTGTATTTTCTATAAATATCACCCAGCAATTAAACCTTATAAAGTAATTGTAACCATTAAATGTATGTGTTCATAAATTTTTTAAATCACAACTTTCGCGACGCGCTTGCTGGTCAGCTTTAATTACCCCTTCACTAAATGAGTGGTCCACTTCTTGAATTGGTTCAGTGGTAAGAGAGCTCAATATTTCGTCTAGGAAAAGTCTTTTACGTAGACGAGCTGGGTGAAACATTATTTCTGGAATAGATATCATTTCTTCCATTTTTTTCGGCCCATATAATCTAAAATAAAACAATATTTGTTTACATTACATGTGCGTCTACTTTATTACGTTATTTATAAAAGGTAATATTCAGATTTAAAGCAATTTATATTTTTATTTGTTTCTTTATGACATAAAAAGTAAAACTAAGTTTTATGTTTATAATACATAAAACTTAGTTTTACAGTATACAGTATTAAAATATTACCAAAATTTAAAAGATATTAATTTTTTTAAAGATCTAAAAATAACGTTTTAAATGTATAAAGTTTATTTATTTTACACATAGAATTTTAAAGTAATGAAACCTTTTTAAATTGATGTCGTTTGAAGTTAAATTAATAAATACGTTTTAAATGGAACATTCATGTTATAGATATTGTATTATCACTTTACTGTAAAAATACAGGCTTTACCTTTAATATTAATATAGGTGTCACCATATAAAATATATTTCTATATATATATATTATAATATGATTTTGTTATTTGCGTTATACAATGGGTTTACTATCTTGCACAGTTATCATGCACAGAAAAAAAAGGAATGGTTAATTTAACTATATTAATTTAGTTGACTCATATTTATTTAAATAAACTGTGGGAAGCTTAATATAAACAAAGATTAATTTGACGGTACTAAACCAGATAGTTATTTTATTTTTTTTAATTGGTTAAATTAACCCAGAAAACTTTAGTGAAACCAACCCGCTGTATGGTTCAGTTTACTAAATATGTTTTTTGTAAAATAAGAGTTACTTCAACCTTAAGCACTTTGTTAAAACGATTAAAACAATTTGCATTCCTGGTTGCATAGTATTACCGATCGCGGCAAAAGCGGTGTGGATCACATGATGTTCTTAAATCTCGCCTCTGTTGACTTACATGAAGAGTATATACGCTCAGGTAGTCCTTTGCTTTGGTGTGACACTACAAGTTGTTCGATACTAAAAAGACCTTAAGTTAATACTTGAAGTATTTTATTAAGTTGGTGGAACGCACTAAAAACATTATATCTCTAGCGAGGTAGAGGTTCCTGTTTCTTGAAGAATATAAGAAAATGGCTTAAGAAAATGTTTCTACTCCAAATATTTCAAGATCTTATTTTTATTGTTAGGTATATAAATGCGCCAAACGCTATGGGTATTACCCATTGGGTAAGTTGTACCAAGCCATTAACCTAGTTAGGGTAACAAATTATACTGAGTCAATTTAACCAAATGTATTTAGTACATTGGAGTAGGTAAAGGTCACTTTAACTATATAAATTTTTGTTTTAACCAAATATATAGTTGTGAAATATAACTAAATGTGGTTGTAAAATAACTAATGTTTGGTTGGCTCTATTGAAACAACAGATTTAGTTAAATAAAACAAATAATAGTTGGGCTAACTAAACCATTTTTTTTTTGAGGAGGAGTTTTTTTTATGAATTTGGCAACAAGGTATCTCTATCATATTGTTCAGGCAAATTTTGTATGACCAACTGCAAATTAAATAATAATAATAATAATAATAATAATAATAATAATAAAAACAATTAACTTGCAAAAATAGTTATAAAAGATGTATGCATACAGTGTGTTCCATCTAAAACGACCACCTTAAATAAATCAGCTGCAACAGAAATTTTGGAAAAATAGGGTTGAATAGAAAATGAGAAGAGCTTTCAATTGATATACGACATGACACCCTTTCCCTATCTAAAATTTGATAGTTCTTTCAGCTGCGGAATGTTGGTTGATGTGCGCAAGCGCAAACTAATTGCAAAAAGTCTCCCCTTTTGAACTAAAATCGACGTATCTTGGCTTTTGCTAATAATTTAAACAGCAAAATATTACAGGGTGTCTATTCTTGAAAGCAAGAGAAAGGAGTGGTCCCTGGGAGCTTCCGGAGAGCTCCCCCTCATTTGTACTCCCTGATATAAAAATGTCGTATTCTTGAAACATCGAACGCACCGGCGAGAATCAAAAAGGGATTTAAATCAGGGAACAGCGTTGCCGTTCGTTTAACCAATAAAATTACAAATGATTTTGACAGAAAACACTTAAGTTTCTGTCATTGTTTTGTTTTTTTTTTTTTAATTTTAATGGTTTGTGTTTGATAAAAACAGAAATGGAAATAAAAGCAAAACAATTAAGTCCGAAACAAAAACAAATTTTAGTGGATTTCGTTCACTCAGGACCCGATATGTACAAGGGAAAATTAAAATTATACAAATGCCATAAGTACAGACTTATGGAAATAAGCGTCGTGCATTTTAAATGCAATTCCAGGAGGGGTCAGTAAGGACTGGAAACAGTGGAGAAAGGCAGAGGTTCTTGTGGGTTCGGCTAAGAAAGGGGTGACATTGTCAATTATATCATGAATATCCACCCTGAATAGCTGCACAAATTTTCTATCAGATAATTGAAGTGCATTTGTCTAAGGCAGAACATCCCTCCCAATAGTCAATTCGCCACCGCTTCCTCAACATCCCTGTTAATAATTTCATTCCACAGAATTAAATTAAAAATGTCCATAATATTTTATTTTGAAACTGACACAATAAACACTACACAAATTTAGGTTAGGTTTGCTGTTTCTCTCAGCCTTTAGTTGGAGAACTTTAAGTTCTCTCGGGAGTATTTTTTCAAGAATACCGGATTCTATATTTTTCTTAAACCACGCCCACTTTTCTCGCAGGTTCTACTCCCTGACATTCAAGAATAGGCACCCAGGTCTGTTCCCATAATGTATCGTTTACTTGGATACAAAAACAACAAAATTAACCTATAAAGTGTCATTTACTAAGAAGGTGGAAATAAAAATAATATACTAGCCCTAATATACATTAAAATGTATAGTTTTAAAAAAGCAGGTCCTTTTAGTACTAGTTTTAATTTTTTTTTGTTTGTCCTTTCTTTTTTTCCGTTATTCTTATTAAATAAAAACTTAAAAGTAAAACATTATTCACATAACGAACGTAATATTTCCGTTTTACAATCTCATTGAAAAAATATAAAAATATTTGAAAATAAATTATATTAAAATAACGTTAGGCGTCAAAAACAGATGTGTAGTGATATAAGTGGGATAAGAGCTTTATTAACGTACGCATGCGAAATTTGCATCGCAAAAGTACGTTAATAAAGCGTTATCACACGTATATTGTACAAATTTTTATCTACGCCTCTAAATGGAAAAATAAACGGTAATTTTTTTTTGTCTAAGACTTTAATTTAGGGTTATTTTGACATTTTAACATTTTGACTTTTTTATTTGATTGGTTAAAAGCAGAGAAAAACGCGTGCGTTAATGAACTTCTTATCTCACTCAAAATGAGTGGGATAAGAAGTTCTTATCTCACTGGCGTAGATAAAATTATTTAACCTTTCTCTGTCAGACGTAAGAAGTTGAAACTTGACGGACCGATAAAATGTCATAATTTTCGAATTATAATTGTACCAATAAGAGCGCTTCCGGATGAACGGACTGACGGACAAACGGATACATGAAAATAAAGCTTTATTCTGCACTTTTTTTAACATGTGTATTAAAATTGCTCATATGCATTCGATGTTTCTTATTTTTGTGCTTATACTTTATAATATTAGGACTTATTTTAATTTCTTGTATGTAATTGTTCTGTAAATGGATTTTATATCTGTTGGACAATAAACGTTATTATTATTATTATTATTATTATTATTATTATTATTATTATTATTATTATTAAATATTACTTTTGGACAAATTTAAATAAGAAGCAATTTCCTTCCTAATTTCAAAATTTATATCTCTGATTTTATTAAAATTCAAAACATATTTTTTTCTTACTTTATTAATCCATCAACTGCAGAATGACCAAATCTAAGAGCAGCAGTAGCAAATTCGTTTGTTATCGATGGTTCTATATGCATATCATAATCATAGGCATACTCTGAACCTTCTTCCAGTTTTAACTGAAATTCTTCCATAGCCAAATCTCCTTCAAATACAAAAATTAACATAGTTTACTTTTAAAAATTGGTTATGTTTACCTATAACTGCGGGCACCCATTCTTTGAAAATAATAGTTTGCATTTCAGCAATTACAATCCTTCTAGATTCCAAAAAGAGAGACTCATCAGACCAAAGCGGATTTAATTTTTGCAGGCCTTCCGCTACTCGATTGTGTTCTCTATGGAAAATTGTATGAAGAGCAACAAGTGATATCATTTGGTTTGATCTTGTATCGCCTAAAAAAAAATAATTAGTTTTTAGACGCAGTATGATAAACAAGTTAAAATATTCTGCAATTATCTAAATTGTTTAAACATCAAGGCATAGTAAGTATTGCCAGGGGTAGGATAAGTGACAGCCGGAGACCACAAAGGTCGATGAAAGCCACCCCCTTGCAGTAAGAAGCCTCTCCAAAACTAAGGTGTAAGGCAACATGCTGAGGGCTGGATGGCCGCAGGGCGCAACATGGGGTCTTTGACGTTCCCCTCAGGATAACAGGCGACCTCTCATTGTATTTAGCCTTACCCACACAATCCGGCGCTGTGTGGACGGATCTTTGGTTCCGGACTACTCGTGGGATTTATATGGACAAACCTATAAAACCTAAGGGTTCTCCGCAAGGAGAGACCGCTAAGCCAGGCTCTTAAGTGGGGACTGACTTATCGGGCTCCTCAAAAGAGGGGACCTCACAAGGCCCCACAAAGGGGACAGGCAATACCGCTTCCGGGACTCGTAAAAGTAACAGAAGCGGCGCAGCTAAGGCTAAAGCCAGGGGGCTCAGGCTCAAGGCACAGTCCATGGACCCGTACTCTCAAAGGCCAAATGCCTGCTTCGACGCAGGGGTGGCCCAATGATCTGGGACGAAACGTTACAGATATGAGGGAAGCACCTCTGAGTCTCAGGAGGCAAGGACGCTAGCGAAGAGGTCAAAGGCTTCCGGAGTTAAATCGGGAGGCCAAGAAATGGCTTCGTACAGCGCCGCAACGTCTGCTGGTCTCGGAGTGACCATCGTGCCGGATGCTTATCCGAACGCGGTGATCACGAAATCACAGAGCAAAACTATCATGGGGAAACTAAACGCCCACATTGATCTTATGGGTGGAGGTCGCTTCCCACAGTTTGAGCAGTTTCGCTGGTCGTCGCAGGGAACCATCACGGTTAAATGCCGGGACCAGTGGACGTTGGACTGGCTGGAGGGGATCATCTCCTCGATCTTACCCTGGGACATCACTGCGCGTGCAGCGGTACATTCCCAGGGCAATTAAGATGGTTGCAGCTGTCTAGGGTCTCCCAGACGACACCTTCACCTACCCTAAGCGACTTCACAAAGAGAATCCTGGTCTTAGGACAAATCTGTGGAGGACGTATCATCGAAAAGAGGAGAAAAACAGGGTTCTCCTGGTTTTTGGAGTTGACGAGGCTTCAGCCGAGGTCTTGCAGCGACAAAAACTTAAAGCGTTCGCAGGGGTCTCCGTCGTCACTTTCCTGACGAAGGCAAAGGCTCCAGCTGCGCCGGAAAAAGAGACGGCTCCAGCCGAGGAGGGTAGTAGCAATACTTCCTTGTCGGAAGGAACGTCTACGCCCGGACCAGATCCGACAGAGTCGACACCAACTTGACAAGGAGGTGGCCGAGTTCATGGCTCAGGTGGATGTACAGGATACTTCACCAGGGACAAGGGCTAGACCATCCGTAACCTAGAAATCAGGTCCTATCTCTATCCACCATAGATAAAGAGATCTCATTTCTACAAAGCAATTTACAACATAGCAAAGGGGCGATTTCCTTAATAGATCGTCACATATCTGGGACAGACATATGTATACCTCCTACAAGAACCTTGGTCATACAAGGGTCGCGTAAGAGGCCTAGGTAGATTGGAAAGATCTCTCTTTTATTTTATTTTATTTTATCTTTGGGACGACCAACTAAATCCATGGGCTTGTATCTACGTCGGCAGACGGATAGAGTCCTTACTAATAGCTAAGTTCTATTCTAGGGACTTAGTAGCGGTGAAACTATGCATTAAGGACAGACCAGGACAGAGCACATCCTTGGTGGTATGCTCGGCCTGTCTGCCCTATGACTCGATAGACGATCCTCCAACACAGGATCTCATCGATATTGTGGAGTGTGATTATCTGATGCGATGCCAACGCACACCATATGGTGTGGGGAAGCACCGACACGAATCGGAGAGGGCTCAGCCTCTTAGAGTATCTACATACTACGGATCTGGAAATCCTAAACCGCGGCACTACACAGACCTTCGTCACGTCACGAAAACAAGAGGTGATAGACCATGGCCCCGATGAAAATAAATTGGAGGCTGGGCTCAGTAGGTTCAGGAACCCCCAGAACAAAAACTGGGATCAGTATGTTGAGATGCTGAAAACTAAGCTAGTGGTCTCTTCCATGACGTGCCGCAGCTCTCGGCAAATGGAGGAAACAGCCGAATTCGTACGCGATGCAACCATCACTCGTACGAACGAAGCTGCCAGCTTCAGTTCTATCGAACAAAAAAGAAAACCCCTTGGTGGAACTTTGACCTCGACAAGTCTCGCAAGGAAACCCCCAGAGGGAATCTTGGAGGACGTTCTGTGATAACGTAGACGAGCTTCCAGCAGCTGGGGATATTAAGGCTTCCCTCTGGTAACTATAGTACCACTTTCCGGGCTTAAAAATCCTGCAAACTGTTGAACCACCAAGGCAGGCTCCAGCAGCTGGCGTAAGGCCGACTGACTGGAAGTTGGCTGCAAAGGTAGTGACAGAAATCTCCACTCATTTGGACCTTTTAAAAGCGCAGGACCAGATGGCATATTTCCGGCTCTCTTACAAAAGGGACTAGAACCACTGACCCCGCACTTGATTTGCCTCTTTAGAGACTGCCTGGAACGGGGCTACGTGCCACAGTCCTGGCGAAAGGTTCTAGTGGTGTTTATCCCCAAACCAGGACGTTGTAACTACGAGACGGCAACGGACTATAGACTCATCTGTCTATCCTCTTTAATAACTATGCACAATGGGCCTTATGTATGTGTGCCTGCAAAGGCTCCCCTTTAAATCACTCAATCAAATCAAATTTTTTAAGAAAATAAATTGTATGGTTCAATTAGTAATACAATATGGATCAATGAAATGGAATCAATATGGTAAACACATTGTACCGAAAATGTTCCACTGGTATCATACTATGCCAAAACAAATATTTTTTTAGTTTTATGGATTTTAAAGTTTTTTTGTTTTTTTATGTACTATGCTCCACACTTCAAAGTCCCACCACGTGACCACGTACGGAACGCAGTCTTTTTATAATTTGTCATTTAAGGCTTTTCAGGTTATGTATCTGTCAAAGTATAGTCAATGCAAGAAATAATATTTATACTGTTTAAGCGTTAAAAGTTTATAAATCTTTATAGTATCACAGTAACAATGGTTGGTTTAATGAAATTCTAAAGTGTATAGTGCCAAATAAGTAAAATTTTTGTGCATATGGTCTACATATACCTGGTTTTATCCATTAAATAGTTTTATCTAAACGGCATTTATTAAAAAAATTTAGCTTGTCTATTATGGAATAAGAATACCTATCTGTATCAAAGGTAGGTTAATATATTATAACAAAAAATATCATCTAATTTTGAAATTTTACACTGTCAGCTAATATACCCATAGTGTCAATACAAGTACCTATAAAAGCTTCGACAAAATTTTATCTACATCGAACAATCATTAGGTATAAATAACCTTATAAATTCTAAAATTTAAATAAAACCACAGTATACTCTATCTAATATTTTTACTTGTAGTAGTCTTTCTTATCCAGCTTAAAGTATACCTACATAAACCCAATGGGGCGGGGTCGGTTGGGTTGTGTTGTTGAGTTTGGGTTGGTTTAGTTTTATTACGTAACTAACGTGCCCTTAACATGTATACAGGTACAATTTATTATTATATTATTGTTGTGCCGCCAATTTTAAATTAAGCGGCACGGCAGTGATGACGTTTTTTATCTATTACGTCACTAGCGTGCCCGTAAAAAATAAATTGCGGGCACTCTAACGTGCACCTAGTCACGGCGGATATTTTTTGTAATAATATATAAACCTACCTTTGATACAGATATTCTTATTCCATAATAGAGAAGCTAGATTTTTTTAATAAATGCCGTTTAGTTATTTATGGATTATATTTTATGGATAAAACCAGATATAATATATTAAAATATTATGTAGACCAAATGCACAAAAATTTTACTTATTTGGCACTATACACTTTAGAATTTCATTAAATGCAGTATTTATACTCCTAAACTCTTAAACCAACCATTGTTACTGTGATACTATAAAGATTTATAAACTTTTAACGCTTAAACACAAACGGTAACAGTATAAATATTATTTCTTTCATTGACTATACTTTGACAGATACATAACCTGAAAAGCCTTAAATGACAAATTTTCAAAAGACTGCGTTCCGTACCTGGTCACGTGGTGGGACTTTGAAGTGTGGAGCATAGTACAATTCTTTGTTATAAAAATGGTGAATGCGCCGGGGTTAATTATGATTTTAATAATAATTATTATAATTATAACAATTATTGTTGAAACGGAAACAAATAGTATAAAATGGTGCAAGTATATATTTAGGATTTTTATGAAAACATACCAAATAAGATATATTCGCTTAAAATATATTCTCAATCTCAATGGAGGTGTAAAACATTTTACATATTTTAAATAAATATTATTAATATAAATAAGAATCTTGCTTAAATCAAGGTAAAACGTGAATTTTGTTAAAAACACGACTTTGCTAAATGGGAAAAAAGTACACTCCAATACTATATTACAAAAACTAAAAAGTACTAAATATATCTTTTTAAATAATTTTAAGGATATTAACTGGTACTTACCACAAGGGGTTAAATTTAATTTAATTTAACCTAGCGGTGTTCGGTATAAAAATTTCACACCAAATTTTGTTTAAAATAAAATCATTTTAAAATGATATATTTTTTCGTTTAACAATGCCTATTTTTTTCTTTGACAAGACACCACCATGATTACTAGGTATTGAAGTTGCACGGAAATACGACCTAACATAGTACAATATTTAATTTTACATAAACTATGAATTACTACAAGTGGTAAAAAAATTGCTTTTTTATGCTAAAAACGGTCAAGTAGGCCATTAAGCTTACAAAAACACCAGAAATATGTCTGTGAGTTTTTATGTTGACACACGCGGGTTTGACAAATGTCGGTAAATTTAATACTTATTATTATTGTTGTCTGGTATATTTTGTTTAAACAAAGTTTAAGACATTACAGTTAAAAGTGGATTAACTTTTTGACATACACTATGAGTGGGCCAGATGAAGGCAAGTTCAAGGTTTTATACCATTTAAATTTTATAGATTTCTTTGCGAATTTACAAAAAAAATAATGATTTAGTGAACGCATGTAAAAGCAAAAATTAACATATCCCATGGATATTTCACAAGAGATATATCAAGATCTACACTGAACTACACGTTTTTGATTATGCTCTTAAACTCTCCAGTACTCAATCTTTATTATCGAAAAAAAAAACTTTTGCCGAATTTTGCCTATCCAGGAGAAAACGCAAGATTTTCTGTGTGGTCTTTTACAATTTGATTCAAAATAAAGCTCTATTCCAGTATTAGTTAAAAGGTTATTAGGATTATATTGTAAAAGACTTTTTGAATATAAAAATCAAAATAGTTTTTTTTAATATAAAAAAATGTGACCCATTTGTTTGCGACTCACCCATTTAAAATCATTTATTTATTGTGCGATTTTAAGATCTTGATAAACTGTATTTTTGTAGCAAAAAACGCCATATTTGTACAAAATACAAGGCCTACTATGTCAGATTTTAAGAGTAAATTTTTAACAATTTAAATTAGCGATTTTTTTAAACAAAGTCTAAGCACGGCACTGGATTCACCACCCCTCAAAACGACCCTTTACTAAATTTTATTGAAAAATTTTAAGTATAAAAATGCACAATAATATCTACATAAATTTATTTTATCAAGTTATCCATGAAAAAAACATTGAAATAAAATTAAACTAATAGTATCATGGTACTATTACTATAAGTTTAATTTATTTCAATGTTTTTTTCATGGATAACTTGACAACATACATTTTTGTACTTAAAATCGCTAATATGAATTCTTAAAAATTTACTTTTAAAAACTGACATAGTTGGCCTTGAATTTTGTAAAAATATGGCGTTTTTTGCTCCAAAAATACAGTTTATCAATGCAATTATTTTAAATCTGTTTAATATTTATTATTATTCTATCTCAGTTAGTTTTTAAATTAAAATTATAAGTATAGTTATTGTATATCTACAGTTAGATATCTATAAATAAAAGGATTTAGTTCTTCTAATAAGTAGTATTTTCTATAATAATAATTAAAAAAAATATTTACAAAGTAATTTTATTCGTACCTGCTTGAAAACAAGCTGATCCTTGTTCCATAGTCAAACAAGCTTCTGGATCTTTAGAAAGTGGAAGTAGAGATCTGCCAAAATCATTAAATACAATTAATTTACCATCCTCAAAACTTCTAAGTTCGCCGGTTTGTTCTGGAGTTGAACCATAAATTGAAGAACAATCAATAAAATGTGTTATTTTGTTCATCTACAAATAAAAAATAAATAAATGTAAATGAACCATATATGTGTGCAATCTGCAGCTCAAAAGCGTCACCACTTTAATAAAGAAAAATTTAATTTAAAAATAGGTCCAGCTTCGACTATGCATAAGCTACATAGAAGCTTATAAAAAATATATTAAAAATCTTAATTTTTAATTATAACACACTGTGAGTTTTAATTTTATTAAATTAATGCTCTACAAAACATTATTAATAAAAAACTCAATTTAACCCATTTAAAATCATTATAAATGAAACTTTGATTGGAAAAATATACAAAAATCTGTGAAAAAAGGTTGAAAAAAAATGTGAGAAAAATCGAATTCTTTATTTTTAACAAAAAAACATTCAGATGTCAGATAATATATCAACACGCGTGTTACCGAGAAACTCCACGCTCGAGGAATCTCCTCTTTCTCCCAGAAGTCGCACAATAGGTATACTATTAATATTATGTAATTATCTAAACTTTAACTTTAATATTTGAGGAGGTGCATTCCAAAACTAGGCTTATCCATATTAGTTGTTTTCGAGCAAAATGTCAAAAACCTTACACGTGAGTACTAACTAATATCAGGCAAACACAATACAAATATAAAGGGATAAGTAAAACATTTATATACCTTGATTAAAAAGGCTCCAGTTTAAAATAATTTAGTTTATTGCCGAGTTCTGCATGATATAACCAATAGATAAGGTAAGTTTTGAAACGATAGTCAATTTGTAAATGAATTTTAAATGGAATAAGTTAAGTAAATAAATCTGTTTGGATTAAAATTGCACTTCCCTGCTGTAATATTTTATTTTAAAAACAGACCGGTTTCGCCTTACGGCATCTTCAGGGTTTCTACAAGAGGTACATAAATAGACATTAGATACATATATACAGAGCCGGCTTAAGGCAATTGAGCGCCTTAGGCACTTAAAAATTTGGCTCCTCTAACTAGATAATATACTTACGGGGCCCGGGGAAAATTTTAAAAAAGCTTATTAGAGCCACCCCAAACTGTTAGCTTAAGGGCGCCCGAGCATTATAACCTAATTATTCCCTATGAATTAGAATACTTTTTATCATTAAAAAATACATATAAAACATAAATAACATACAAACATAACAAATATAATGTAAATAAAAAGTGTTAGGACTTATAAGTGCGTTTTTCTGCAAGATGTCATTAGTAAGTATTTAAAAAAAAATAATTCAACTTTAATTTTCTGTATTTTCTGTATTTGTATGTTGGTTTATTGTAATTAGTTTAATATTAAAATTAACAGAAAAATTAACACTATCTAAATGTGAATTAAGCCAGCATTTTGTGTAACGTAATCTAACGTAACGTAATTTAATTTAAAAGCCAGGCTAAATCAACCTTAACTATCGAACACAGACTGCTATCACCAAACACACAACACATAAAAGTGCCACTCTTGAACTTTAATTTTCTGTATTTGTATGCTGGTTTATTGTAATTAGTTTAATATTAAAATTTCAGAAATACCTTAAAACAAACAGAAAAATTAACACTATATAAATGTGGATTAAGCCAGCATTTTGTGTAACGTAATCTAACGTAACGTAATTTAATTTAAAAGCCAGGCTAAATCAACCTTAACTATCGAACACAGACTGCTATCACCAAACACACAACACATAGAAGTGCCACTCTTGAATAAACGCAAAAACACCCAAGTCCTTCCGGCAGCAGTTTCCTCTAGTACCCGCTGGGGTGAGCAGCACATCACAGCGGGTACCCGATGCAAGAGGAATCCGTGTGCTTGGAGCATACGGGGGTTTGGAAATAGTTTAAAGAGTGCTAAAGATATGTTTATACAGGGTAAAGTTTACAAATTAAATTATCTTTTAAGTTTTTGTTTGCAGTTTAACGTTAAGATTTATTATTATTTGTTAATTATACAGTTAATATTAAAATATCTTATTCTTCTTCAAAACGCAGTGCCCTCGTAATCAAGCATAGTGATAAAAACAGAAGTGAATTTGCGGCACGCTTTTTTGTCGCTTTACACCTCGTTATTACAAAGGAAGCTAAATTTTTATAAAATATAAAAACAGTAAATAATTTTTTGTTTTTACAATTGTAGGTATATTGTTTATTTGTTTTATTTTTGGAAAAAATAAACATTTTGGTAACAATTTTTATTTTGTTTTAAGTTGCCTGGGGACAAGGCGCCTATTTCTACGTGGCGCCTAAGGCAATTGCCTTGCCTGCCTAATGGGTAATATGGCCCTGCATATATATAGGTTAAGCATACTTTAAAGTAACTTACACGTCAAAATATTAAAATATACTATTATTACATAAATAAACTATCACTAGGTTGTCGATACAATAAATAATCAATGAGACTAAACACGAGTTAAACAATTGATACATTAAAACTAAAATTAAAACTAAAAATATAAATTTAAAATGAGGTTAGGTTGTTGTTGTTGTTTTTGGTTAGTTGACTAGATGTTTGTAGATTGGTGTATATATTATATAATATTATATTATATATTATATACTATATATATTATATAATATTATATTATATATTATATACTATATAATAAATTTACTTGTTCATTAAGGCATTGTTCTTTTTTGTTTTTTATTTGTTTATTAATTTCGTAGGCTTCTAACAGGGTTAATTTGTGGCCTTTTTCTTGTATGTGTAGTATTTTTGTGTTTGTTTCCATGTTAAAGGAGTGTCCCGTATCTGTTAAATGATTTCCGAAATTTGATTTGTGATTATTGTTATTTGGGTGTTCTTTAATTCTTGTCTTAAAATTTCTGCCTGTTTCACCTATATATGTGGCTTCGCAATCATTGCAAGTTAATTTATAAACTCCACTTTTTTCAAATAAGTTTATTTGTTCTTTTGCGTTATTAATGTTATTATGTATATTGTTGTTTGTTTTTATGGCTGCTTTTAAGTTGTATTTTTTAAAAATTTTGTTTATTGTTTCTGTGATTGGTCCTTGAAAGGTTATTTTTCTATATTGATATTCTTTCTTTTCTTCGTTGTACATGTTTATAAGTTCCAAAGTGTTTTTCCATTGTATTCTTTTTTGTGTCTTTTTAATTGTGTTATTATTAAATTTGTTTTCGTGGCCTATTTGTAGTATTGTGTTTAGTTCTTTTTGGTATTCGTTTTCTGTTAGAGGTGTGTTGTTAAGTCTGTGTAAGAAGCTGTGGAAAGCGGAGTGTTTTTGTTGGTTGCAATGGAACGAGTCACTTGGTATTTACAAAACTAAAGTACCACTGCTTAAATTGATTACATAATTAAACAAAAGGAATAAGTTAAGTTTTAGAATATTATGAACTTCTCAGGGTATAGGGGGATACATGTTAAATGTACAGACGCCGAGTTTTGAAATGGACCTCCACATTTGTTTTAAACTAAAACTATAATAATATAGAAAAGCTCGTAAGCCAGCAGTATAAAAATTGGGGAAACATTATTACTCAAAATAATCTCCATAATAAGGCACCCAAAAACTGCATACCACTTCTTTCGTTTTTAGCAATAAAGTTTATTTTATTATTATAATAAAAATAGTAAATCTACTTTTTTTAAGCGGCCATGACAAAAAAGCCTAGGGATAGAAGTAAATCCATAGGTGACTCAATAGACGTCAAATAATAAAATTAATTTAGCATTTTATACAAAGCAATCACAATGTATTAATTATATTAATTATAATCGCACGGAATATTTAGTGATTATTTATTAAATTTTAATTGAACGAAATAAAGAACAACTAAACTGATCGAAAAAAGTTAAGCATATTTTTGAACAAAGTTGAAATCAAACTGGATACCGACTTATACCTAAAATGCGTTTTTTCGACTTCGTTCTTTTTTGTCTAAGATTCTTTCATTTTTACGTTTTTATTACCAAATATTAAAATAAAGTATACAGGGCGTATAAAATTGTATCGTTAAATTTATGTTTTGGTCAAAATATCTTAATATGCTTAACTTTATTCAATTAGTTTAGTTTATTAGTATAATATTATGATGATATGATATGATACGAGGAGTAGAAGTGACTCTTTTTTTGGATTTATTGGCTTTTAGTCTTTTTTCAGACTATTTAACCAGCTCATGATATTTTATTTTTGTTTAATAAACAACTACAACACCAAAGGCTGTGACCGGGAATCGAACCCGGTACCGTTAGACGCAGATTGTTTACAGCTCTGTAGCTCAACCCACTGCGCCATCCTCCACTTCTATAGAAGTATACTCCACTCAGTGGCGTAGCTAGCCTCGAGGGGGCCCCGTATCAAAAATCTGTTACGGGCCCTTATACGGGAAAAGCTGCTGGCAAAAAAATTTCTGAGTGTCACGCCCAAAGTCTATTTTGCAAATTTGGGCAAACAAAAAAATTTTTTAGGGTATCATTTTTTTGCATTTGCCAATTTTTTATAAATTAATAAATAACATATGTATGTATACATATGTTATTTATTAATTTATAAAAAATTGGTAAATGCAAAAAAATGATGATATGTATACATATGTTATTTATTAATTTATAAAAAATTGGTAAATGCAAAAAAATGATACCCTAAAAAATTTTTTTGTTTGCCCAAATTTGCAAAATAGACTTTGGGCGTGACACTCAGAAATTTTTTTGCCAGCAGCTTTTCCCGTATAAGGGCCCGTAACAGATTTTTGATACGGGGCCCCCTCGAGGCTAGCTACATAGATTTTTATGTACAGACAAATTTTAAAATTTGGTCTGGTTTTAGACATTTACCGTTCTTCAATATCTTTTAAAAGGTTTCTATTTTAAAATAAAGGAAAGTCATTTGAAACAATTGTAACGCTAATAATTATTTCTAATTTGCTATTAATATAACCTATGATAATAACACGCAAAGGAGACTCAGTATGCGGAGCAGAGCACAGAACAATATGCGCAGACTGCGCCGCAGACAACGCATAACGGAAAGGTGCAGACAGAAACAATTCATATGAGTTCACGGCCTCGTTTGAACAGGAGGGTATTCAGGAAAATTTTAATTTAATAAATCGAAGTATAAACAATTAAATAATAATATTATTTATTTATTTAATTTCATGCCTCAATTTGTTTAACATGTGGGTAATATGTTTTTTGCTTACGCATGTCGAAGTCAATCGGCCCCCTCCCTAGCCAGGGGCCCCGTATCATTGATACGGCTGATACCGCGGTAGCTACGCCCCTGACTCTACTTCTATAGAGTATACTCCTTATGACATAATCTACTATTTATTCAAAGAATACACCGTGTATTATAAACATGGGCAAGGTGACGTGGGGCTGACCGCAGCTAGCTCTTTTCTTGTGAATCAAGTCATAACGTACGATTTAAACTTAACGCCGCTCTAAAATCATGAGTCCAAGCTACCGCGAAGCCGAACCAATAGCATGTCTAATTTATTGTTTTGTAAGTAAGTACGGCCGACACGTCATTGGCCCTATCCTGCGTGTGGAGATTTATTTATTATTATTATTGTTTTTAATTAAATAGGTATTTCTTTATTTTAAAAAGTTACAAAACTAAAATTATAATTTCATTAATACCGAAATAAATAGGCACAAATAAAAAACATGAATGGCTTGATTATAATTAAAATTCAATCATTAAATAATCCCATATAGGTACCTAGGTATAATAATGATTATTTCCCTCATTATAATATGAACCAATCAAAAGCCTTGAATTTTCAAATAAATTTCGTTTAAATAAGCGATTAAATCACTAGAACTATTTAGCAGCGATTAAATTTTAGCCCCCATATTGGATTTTTGTTTACGATTTTATGGTGTTATTTACAAGTTTTAACAAACATTTTTTAAAAAACAATAAAAAATAAGTTATCTAGTTTACGAAATATCAATTATTACTTGTTACATACCTTAAATTAATGGAATTTTCTTTAAAAAAATATTTATAAATTTTGACTCATACGTCAGATTTTATGAATTGTCAAATAGTTTCCTTTAATTCGAGAAATAATCTAGACGTATATCACTCAACCTATACATTTAATCTGTCAAACTATGCTCAGTAAGTTTTTTATTTGATTTTTCTTTTTGGAAAATAGTTTCATGCTACGCGGTCTCGTGATTTTATTAAATTATTTTGCATTCAACATTTTCCAACAAAAAGCGAACAAAAAACTACTGAGCCTAGTTTAACCGATTAAATTCATAGTTCTCGTGATATAATATATGATTATTTTTTTTAGTTTTATCTCTTAAATTTTTTATTTTTTGTAATAAATACATTAGTTACATTAATTTTAAATTCATTCCCTTATTTGTTAAATTAAAAATTAAGGTATGATTAAAGTTTAATCAATAAATAATCCCGTATACCTATGTACATGTACAATAATGATTGTTTTTTTTAGTTCCATCTCTTAATTTTTTTATTTTGTTATAAATACATTAGTTACATTAATTTTAAATCCATTCCCTTATTTGTTAAATTAAAAATTAAGGGTTTAAATGTATAGCATTTAGTAGGTGCGGCTCGCCGTTTACCTTGAAGCCTGCACGTATATTCAATCTCAGACATTTCATTTGTATCTTTTGATACAAGATGGAGCGATAATATGCCGCGATACGTATGTCGAGAATTGATGGATGGATATAAAAACTTATTATTGCTGTCTCTGTGCCTCGTGGTAGGTGGATTGTTTGTGTTTTTTAAGGTTAGTTTTTGGTCGGCTCAAGAAGAAAAATGGAAATTAATATCAGGGAAGTAATTAGTATAAATTCTGATATGGTTTTTGCCAGACGATTTAAGTTCTTATTATTATTGCGTACAATAACATGGAAATAAAATATAAAATTGACAAATTAGAGTAGTTTCTTTTTCTTGAACTATTAGGAATAAGCAGGACCTTTGCGATATAGGCCACGCCTTTTCTTTTTTAAACATGAGTGGTCGCATGCTTAAAAGCTGTTGATTACGTCCATTTTCAAAAAATCGGGCTTCTTACCCGCTTCCCTCACTTGATCTTAGGGAGCCCCCCTCAAGCAAACTGTGGACCCCCCACTGAGCTGGTTTTAACAAGCACCAGTCGCCACTGTTATCAACAATCTTTAAATATTTTTAAGTAGCAAAAAGATTATATTTTAATAGTTAAAATTTATATTCATTATTTATTTACTTTTTTTTTCACGAATTCTGACACTCAAGGATTTTTGCTTTATTTTACTTTGGATAGGATTATCTAAACATTATTATTCTTACCTGTTGGGCATAACCTAAGGTACAATCTTCCCTTGGAGCCAAGAGCGATCTCACAAAATTCATACATCTTTGATTAAAAACGCCGTAAAATTTATCCTTATTGGGAATTTGTATAGGCATGCAAGCATAGTGTCTCATTTCATGAGGTAATGCTCCTGCTCCTTCCGGTTGACAGCAGGATATAGCTGAACCATTACCTATAATAATATAATATAATAATATATTTTAAACAAAAAACAAAATTTTATATACCAAAAGAAGTATCCATAGAATGAGTTATATCATGAGATAAAAATTGTCCAAATTGTGCCAATAAAAGTGTATAGCCTGTGTTTGGAATATCTTCATCAGGAAAGAGAGTAGTACTTATTAATCTAGGAGTGGTAAGTTCTTCGTGACTTCTTGCTGATAGACGTGGCGCCCAAATTCCTAAAAAAAAAATTGGTTTTTAGTTTTTTGAAATTATTTAGGAACCTTCTTTTTATATAAAAAGCTACAAGGTCGGTTAAATTTAAGAAAAATTGCGTGATTACAAGTGTATTAAAATAGAATTCAAAATTTAAAAAAAAAACAGAGGTTCCTAACTAATTTAAAAAAAAATGAAAACCTGCCAAAACCAAAAATTTGTATAACCTTACATGTAGTTAAATATATACATTTAACTACATTTTCATCAATTAGTATTTTTTTTCGCCTATTTGATTTTGTGTTAACAACATATATTGTTTTTTCTGTCTGCCATATTGGTTATTGCATGGTTAGACAAAAAATCAAGAAATTCAATGATGTATCAAACTACAAAAGATGGTAATAAAGAAATTGGATAAAAATTATGGATATATTTACATGTGAAACTTATAAAATTCCCAGGATCAACGAAGATATAAAGATTTTTGGTTTTAAAAGGTTTTTAGTTTTTAGAACCGCTGGCTATTTTACAATTTTTAAATTAAATTTTAATAGGCTTGTAATTACGCAACTTTTTTTTTTTAATTTAACTGACCTTGTAGCTCTTTAAATAAAAAAATACCCATAGAAGTATACACATGAAAGGATACTTGGTGCACCTTGTATATGGGGTGTTTTATATGGGAGTTTATTTTACCTTTTTTTACTTTTTCTTAAACTAAGTACCTACATATACTACAAGATTTTTAAAACCAAGCAAAATAAACTTACATTCGAAACATCCCAATGTTTCCATCTACCGGCAATCTTTGAAAGTTTTCTTTTGAAGCGGTAAAAAACTAATATATCGTAGAAAAGGTTTCTGTTAATTAATTATATTATATTTACCATCTTCGTAACTAGGAGGGAGTAATCTAGCATAAGGAGTAAAAGGACCTCCCCAAGCAGAATTTTTCAAATTATTACAGGTTCCATCAATTCTTCTAAATTTTTCCAATACAGGGGGACAAAAAGGTCTACGTCCGCAGAACTCCGATAAAGAACTTAATTTAAGATCTTGCTGTATCATTCCTAATTCTAGTTGTTGGTTAGTAATTCCTTGTCTAAAACGAGTTAAAATTAATTATTATTATCATTTTTTAAACATATTCTACTAAACTGACTAAACTAACCTGAATATTTTACAATCAGTGTCCGTATGGGTTTGCATAACATTTTTGTTGACATTGTCAACAGCAAAACAAATTAAATTAAATGTATAACTGCCTGATATGTTTAATTATAATTATTAATAGTAATTAATAATTATTTTAATTGTAATACAAAAATGTATAAAAAAAATTCTTTAGATAAATACAAAACTATATTTTCATAAAAAAGATTTTTAATAAAATAAATTTTTCTGTTAAAATGATATGAAATATTTATTGTCTTCAATTTAAATAATAGTATTAATATATAAAAAAACAAACAATCTCTTAAAGTTTCACTATTTTATTTATGTTTTATAAAAAAATTGTTTCGCTACACGGTAGCTTCTTCAGAATAAGTACAATTTTTTATTAAGTGGCGGTATTTATATTAGCTAATCCAGGTATTTGAAGGCCATTACACAATTTTGAAAAAACTATGGATTTGGAAAGTCCTATCTAATTTAATTTTAGAATATTAATAAATACTATTTTAGTACTAAATAAATACTAAAATAAATTTAGCAAAGGAGAGTTGTTGGTTTCAATTTGGTCATTGAGAACAATATCCATTTTTTTCTTCAGTTTATTAATTTTTTAAAATTCTAGAAGATTAAGTTTGGTGTCTTTATTGGTCACATGTGAGATTCTAAAGTTTTCGTAAAATTTTTGGTTATCTTGTATTAAATGGTTATATTGTGAAGACACCTTTATTAATGGTTATATGTTTTATATAGGATTTATTGTGTTCTTTAATTCGTGTATTAAAGTTTCGTCCACTTTTGTGTATGTTTTTAGACAGTATCTGCAAGTTATTTGGTAAACGCCGGATTTTAAGGATTTTGTTGTTTTGTCTTTGTTGTTTTTGATTAACTTACTAAGGTTGTTATTAGTTTTTAATGCAACATTTGTAATGGTACGCTATACGGGGCAGTTAATTTTTAACATTTCTTAATTTATTATTTTAAGGCTTTACGAAATATGAAACTACTTCTAAATATTTAACTTAAAATTGTATCAAGTGGTTATTAGTAACTTAATATTTGGACCCATTCTGTTTACATTATATATTTTATTAGGGCAATATTTAAACTAAGCATTCCAGAGTCTTTGTCAACACGTAATAAAAATAGGGTATAGTACGTCTGACAGAATGATATTTATAAATCACTGTCAAGGTGCTAAGCGTAGACATACGTGTTGGTGTCTTTAAGCATCCCATACTGCACTAGGGAGACTCACCAAAACCGCACGTATGTCTGAGCCATATCGGTAGACAGAGAAGGTTTTCACGTTCCAAATGAACCATATCGATAGGCCGGTGGCTTTGAGAAAATAAACATAAAAAACAGCATGTTAAAAACTGAAGGGAGGGTATTTTTTAAAACAGTTTTGGTTTTGCTATTTGAGCAGACAGTATATTTTAGACAGTTGAAGGGATTAGTTTAATTCTTTAATTTTGTAACAGTTGGTTTTTGTTATTTGAAGGAAGAGTGACGTTTTACTATTAAATTCTTTAACTTTATCAGGGAGGGAATTTAACAAATATTACATTGTTTTTTATATAAATTCAGTTTAGTGAAAAGTGTTGTTTATTTAAATAGGTATGTCTTTTCTATATTTAGTTATTATAATCTGAGGTCACAAATATCATAATGAGTGGTTAATTATCTAATATTTAATTTAAACTATATTTTATTATTATTATTTCAACTTGTTTGTTTTGTGAGAGAAGAAATAAGCTGAATTGTTTTTATCTTAATGTTGATGGTTGGACAACCAAATCATAATCATTATTTTATGTTTATAATTATTATATTTATATTATATTACATTTACTTTAACATATTATTTTGTAATGTAATTTTACATTTTACTACATATTTATATTTAACATTTACATACTTGATTTTGTACAGTTTATCTTATTTTATTTATTTGATAAATTGATATTCATTATTTAATATGGTGAGACTTGTTTCAAGTTCTGCATATCAAATGAGTTATTTAGTTAGGGAACTTTGTTGCCGGTTGCTGGTAATAGGATGGTGGATACAGCTCTGCTTTGACAGGCGCACCCAATGGCCAATAATGCCAGTTAACCAATTTAGACAAAGAATGGTTAGATAGGGATATTGATATGAAGTTGTTGTTTTATGGTCTTATTCTATTATTATTGATAATCATTTTATTTTGCTATATTTGATTTGCACTGACATGTTTTTATTACTTGATTATACCTGATTGTATTTGTTATTTATGACTGTACAATTAAATTGCATTACCGTTGTCCACTACTACACCACTTGTTATTTATATATTTTATTTATACAAATACCATTTATTATTGTTGCTTGTGACCTAAGTTATATTATACTTTATGTTTCACATTATTGTTGTTTTTGCTGTACATTGATAATTATTTCAATGTGTATTTGCTTTTCTACACCGTCCGAGCCTACCATTTATGTAGGTGAATAATCTTAGCAATATGATAATATAATTTATTATATTCATATTGATTACTTTGATTTTGTTGTATTATTTATATTGTTGAGATGTGCGACATATATGCATGTCTGTATTGCATATGTGGGTTTTTAAGGTTTTACCTTATTAACTTAAATCAATCATACTTTTCAAATACAAATGTTCTTATTTATATTATTAATGTACAGTAACAATAATTAACTCTTGTATTAATTGCCTTTATTAATAAACTTATTTTAATTTAATACTTTTTCTTTGCTTTTTAAATATCTTTTCAATTGCTCAAGTACTTACGTATCCAGAACCGTATTCACAACAAAAAGGGGTCCTAACTTAATTTCTTTAAACTAGACGATCACGTGTTTTGGCCAAAGGTAGTTTTTCTGTGGTTTTAATATTCTTTTTAATTATTAATGTGTGCCCCCCATCCCCCGTTCGTTACAAATTGGTGCCGTGACCAGGATTTTGCTAATTTATTTCCGATTAATGTCAAATATCCAGGATTCGTTTGGTCTAATATTGTTTTTTATTTTTGTTGATTGGTTCTTGCTAATTTATTTCTAGGATTTATTTTATTTGATATTGGTTTTATTTAATATTGATTTTATTTTATTTAACCGTTTTTTTTGCATGATTTATTTAACCTGAATGTTTGCATGTTATAATTATAAATTGACTTTGCTATGATTTGCTATGTTATGTTATGTTTTGATATGTTTGCTATGATTTGATATGTTTGCTATGTCTTGATTACGTTTGCTATTTTTTGCTATGTGTTATATTTTGCTATGTGTTATATTTTGCTATGTCTTGTTATGTTTGCTATGGTATGTTATGTTATGTTATATTATAAAATGTTTATTAATGCTATGTTATGTCTTGCTATGTGTTGTTAATTTTTAATGTCCGGCTCACGAAAAATTAATACCCTTTTCTAGGATTTTGCATTGCTCATTTAATTTTTTATTTTTTATTCGTGTTCCCGTCACTTGATGTCAGGTGATTAGAAGTTTGTATATTTATTTTAGTTGTATTTTGTATTCCTTGTGTTACCATGTGTCAAGGGTGTTAAAAGTTCTTTTTGTTTATCTCTGGTTTCGCCAAATTGATGATATGGGTTGATGTTGGTCCGGTTGACAGATTTATGTTTTTCGCACAGTGTGGTAAAATAATTTTTGTTTATCTGTGTTTAATTTTTTTTCATTTTCATAGAATACAGAATTCCTGCTTTCCTTATTTTATTTTCAGGAATCTTAATAGTTTGTTTTTTCTAGTACCTTCTTGTTAATAATTTTGTCTGGGTTACTACAACATTTGCTGTGCTTTTCAGCACAAATTGTTGCTGCTGACTGGAGGATACGTTTTTAAAAAGTACTGGGCATTTGATTAGATAAATTTTTGTTTTTATGTTATGATTTTACTGCTTTTTTTATTTTTATTTTTATGCAACAACTTTGATTGAATGACGACCTGAGTTTTACCAAGGAATATTTGATGACATAATTACCAAATGTTAAATAATTTGGAATGTGCTAAACTGGAATTACTGGATGATGAGAACTTCAACTGCAATTGATAGGACTGTCAGGATGATCATGATGATGACGATAATCAATGATGATTTAATTTTGATCAGCTGTAATTACTGGATTATGAGAACTTCAACTGCAACTGATAGGACCGTCAGGATGAAAATGATGTTGGCGATAATCAAGGATGATTTAATTTTGATCAGGTGTGTCATGTTTATTTTTATTTTAAATTTTATTATTATTTTTTTTTGTTTTATTAATTTTTTCTTTATGTACCGACAAATTAATATAATAACATTGTTAACATTATTAACCACTGACATGTTACGTTGACGTTTGACTTTACACTTTTATTGTATATTTTTGACAATGTTTATTTATTTTAAGTTTATTTTCTGATTAGTCTTTCTTTTATTTTTTATGTATTTTAAATGTATTTGATGGGAGCTATGATATACCTATGTGATGACGTATAAATGTGGAGATGCACAGAGAAGGGGCGCACGGTGCGCCGCGCACCCAGCAGATAAGGACCAGTAGTGAGCAGGGGCGCACTCAGCCCAAAGGATCAGCAGTGAGCAGGGACGCACTTAGCCCAAAGGACCAGCAGCGAGCAGGGGCGCACTCAGCCCAAAGGACCAGTAGTGAGCAGGGGCGCACTCAGCCCAAAGGACCAGCAGCGAGCAGGGGCGTACTCAGCCCAATATGATATGGAGGACAGGGTCGTATTTAGGTTTAGTTACCAAGGTTTAGGGATGTTAAAAGCTTGACAAGCCTCCTTATGTCATTTGACAACCTTTCAAAGGGGCGTCTGTAATGGTACGCTATACGGGGCAGTTAATTTTTAACATTTCTTAATTTATTATTTTAAGGCTTTACGAAATATGAAACTACTTCTAAATATTTAACTTAAAATTGTATCAAGTGGTTATTAGTAACTTAATATTTGGACCCATTCTGTTTACATTATATATTTTATTAGGGCAATATTTAAACTAAGCATTCCAGAGTCTTTGTCAACACGTAATAAAAATAGCGTATAGTACGTCTGACAGAATGATATTTATAAATCACTGTCAAGGTGCTAAGCGTAGACCTACGTGTTGGTGTCTTTAAGCATCCCATACTGCACTAGGGAGACTCACCAAAACCGCACGTATGTCTGAGCCATATCGGTAGACAGAGAAGGTTTTCACGTTCCAAATGAACCATATCGATAGGCCGGTGGCTTTGAGAAAATAAACATAAAAAACAGCATGTTAAAAACTGAAGGGAGGGTATTTTTTAAAACAGTTTTGGTTTTGCTATTTGAGCAGACAGTATATTTTAGACAGTTGAAGGGATTAGTTTAATTCTTTAATTTTGTAACAGTTGGTTTTTGTTATTTGAAGGAAGAGTGACGTTTTACTATTAAATTCTTTAACTTTATCAGGGAGGGAATTTAACAAATATTACATTGTTTTTTATATAAATTCAGTTTAGTGAAAAGTGTTGTTTATTTAAATAGGTATGTCTTTTCTATATTTAGTTATTATAATCTGAGGTCACAAATATCATAATGAGTGGTTAATTATCTAATATTTAATTTAAACTATATTTTATTATTATTATTTCAACTTGTTTGTTTTGTGAGAGAAGAAATAAGCTGAATTGTTTTTATCTTAATGTTGATGGTTGGACAACCAAATCATAATCATTATTTTATGTTTATAATTATTATATTTATATTATATTACATTTACTTTAACATATTATTTTGTAATGTAATTTTACATTTTACTACATATTTATATTTAACATTTACATACTTGATTTTGTACAGTTTATCTTATTTTATTTATTTGATAAATTGATATTCATTATTTAATATGGTGAGACTTGTTTCAAGTTCTGCATATCAAATGAGTTATTTAGTTAGGGAACTTTGTTGCCGGTTGCTGGTAATAGGATGGTGGATACAGCTCTGCTTTGACAGGCGCACCCAATGGCCAATAATGCCAGTTAACCAATTTAGACAAAGAATGGTTAGATAGGGATATTGATATGAAGTTGTTGTTTTATGGTCTTATTCTATTATTATTGATAATCATTTTATTTTGCTATATTTGATTTGCACTGACATGTTTTTATTACTTGATTATACCTGATTGTATTTGTTATTTATGACTGTACAATTAAATTGCATTACCGTTGTCCACTACTACACCACTTGTTATTTATATATTTTATTTATACAAATACCATTTATTATTGTTGCTTGTGACCTAAGTTATATTATACTTTATGTTTCACATTATTGTTGTTTTTGCTGTACATTGATAATTATTTCAATGTGTATTTGCTTTTCTACACCGTCCGAGCCTACCATTTATGTAGGTGAATAATCTTAGCAATATGATAATATAATTTATTATATTCATATTGATTACTTTGATTTTGTTGTATTATTTATATTGTTGAGATGTGCGACATATATGCATGTCTGTATTGCATATGTGGGTTTTTAAGGTTTTACCTTATTAACTTAAATCAATCATACTTTTCAAATACAAATGTTCTTATTTATATTATTAATGTACAGTAACAATAATTAACTCTTGTATTAATTGCCTTTATTAATAAACTTATTTTAATTTAATACTTTTTCTTTGCTTTTTAAATATCTTTTCAATTGCTCAAGTACTTACGTATCCAGAACCGTATTCACAACAAAAAGGGGTCCTAACTTAATTTCTTTAAACTAGACGATCACGTGTTTTGGCCAAAGGTAGTTTTTCTGTGGTTTTAATATTCTTTTTAATTATTAATGTGTGCCCCCCATCCCCCGTTCGTTACACATTATTCTTGATTTTATTAAATAAATTAAATACATGTCTTATAGTACCTAGATATGTAAAACTGTTATGAATTATATATTTATGGGGTTCTTAGATATTGGAAAAACTTTATTGATTGCTTTTTTTTGTTTTTTGCGATTTGAGATTTTGTTAATTAATTGTGCATCATAGCCGTTGTTAACTGCTATTTGTTTAATTAATTTGTATTTGTATTTGTGTATTATAATAATAATCTATTTCTGATAATGTAACGTTTAAGAGTCTATGGACCATAGAGTTAAATGAGGCTTTTTTGTGTGAAAAGGGGTAAGAAGAACTTATATGTATAACTATATCTGTATAGCTGGGTTTGTAAACAACCTTAGTAAGTTTATTAAAAACAACAAAGACAAAACAACAAAATCCTCAAAATCCGGCGTTTACCAACTAACTTGCAGAGACTGTCCGAAAACATATAGGCCAAACTGGACGAAACTTTAATACACGAATTAAGAACACAAGAAATCTTATATAAACCTTAAACAGGACTATTCATATGCCAACCATTAAATACAAGAAAACCACAAATTTAACAATAACTTTAGAATCTTACATGTAGCCAATAAATACACCAACTAAATCTTCTGGAGTCTTTGGAAATTAATGAACTGAAGAAAAACTCGGATATTGTTTTTAATGACCAAATTGAAACCAACAACTCTCCTTTGCTAAATTTTAGAATGTAGTACTAAAAATAATATTTATTATTATTGTAAAATTATATTAGATAGGACTTTTCAAATCCATAGTTTTTCCAAAATTGTGTAAGTTTAATTAATGCCCTCAGGTATAATGTTTATACAACACGTATTTTTTCAAATACCTGGATTGGCTAATATAAATACCGCCACTTAATAATATTTCAACTTATTCTGAAGAAGCTACCTGGTGGGGAAAAATGTTAATTTAAAAAAAACATAAATAAAATATTGAAACTTTAAAGCAGTTTTGTTTTTATTCATATGTTAATAATATGGAGTTTCATTAAGTAAAAGTCGAAACAATCAACATTTAAATAATAGTGTTTAATTTATATAAAAGTTTTAAGGATATATTATAATTTGTATTACCTGTGTTTAAAAGCCTTAGTAGCAAAAGCTATTTCTAAAGCTTTATTAGCCACATCGAAAACATTTGATAAGTCGGTGGCATCAAAAGCCCTTGAATTTCTAAAAGTATGGCTGTAGCTTGCAGATCCTTGCCTTAAAACGTTATTTTCCCTGGCAAGTAAATGAGTTTCCTTTGTTCTTAAAAATGCCATTTCAGATTGACTATGATGTGCTATAAAGTTTAAAGTAACTTTATCCAAATTTTGAACATGGTGACGACCTTTTTCATGAAATGTTTCTAAAAAAGCATATTAACTAAGTATTATTTTTAATTTCTAAAGAAGTATTAATAGGTATTGTGTATCATTATTAGTAATCACATCACTTTATAATATCAAATATGAATCATCTCAAGCCAACCGGGTTAAGCAGCTCCATCGCATCAGCTCAGAGACACTTTTGTCGGGTTGGGTCTGTCAGGACATACGCAAGTTTCTTTTCATTATAATGCTTAATACAAAATCAATTTTTTATTGGTTTTAGGTAGAAATAATAAAAATTCACCTGATTTTTTTAAATCTGGTAAAATCTAGTAATATAAAAATATAATAGCTTTGTTAAAGTATTTTTTTTAATTTAAACTAAAACTAAACTTAAAAAGAATTTCTGTCGGTACAAAATTCCTCATACATATGTACAGGGTGTTTTCAATAAATGGGACTCCCCTATAAAATCTTTATTGTGAAGAGATATCAAAAAATTGACAATCAAGCTTGCAGGGTTTGAAATAGTTATTTGTTTTACAAGTGTTGAAAAGCGACTTTTTAAGTTGCCCACGAGGCCGTTAGGCCGAGTGTGCATTAACACGAGCTTGAAGAAAGCTTTTCTCACAAGTATAACACAATGTTTTTTCTGCGACCCTTTTATTTTTTTATTATTTTTAAATACAAAACAAATTAACCTAAAAACTTTTTTGACAGCTGAATGTCAAACGATGCTTTCCGGTTCTTTTCACACAGACCTGTCACTTTTCACACAGAAATGACACTTTACATTCGTGTTTTGCCTTGCCAATGAAAAGATTCATTTTCTAAGCAACGATGCCATCATGAAAAGTGACTTTTACATAGTGATCGTAGAAAAAATTACTTTTTCAACCCATGCAAAAATTCAAAAAAAAAATAAGCTTCGGTAAATTTAATTAATAAAATAGCATTGACATTGTTTTTTTCAACCAAACACCCTGTATATTTTTGTATATTTAAATATTTTTTTCTTCTGGATTCAAAAATATATAGTTGTGTTAAGGTTTTGTTAATAACTGACCCGAAAGTTATGCTAAATTTAACGCGAGAATCATGGTTGCCATAGATAAAGAACATTCGCGTTTTGTTAAAAATTAATAATAAAATTAATAATAAAAAACATGGTTACTTTATGGGTTCTTTATCCATGGCAACTATGATTTTTACTTTAAAATAAGGTTTTTGGTTTAATTATTAATAAAATGTTTCATTCAAACATATACAGGGTGTTCCATTAAAAAAAAACAATGTAATATCTATATTAACAATTTTACCGATGTTTTTTTTGTTTTTTAATGTATATCAAAAAAATTACTTAAACCATGCAAGCTGGAGTTTTTAATATCTCTGTAAATTAAGATTTTAGAGGGGTGTGTCATTTATTCAAAAACACATGGCAACCATATAAAAATTTGAAAATAAATTTTATTATACCTATAAGCTCTAGTGCCAATTATTATTAAATTTAATAAAAGTACCGTAAAGAATACACAAATACATATATCAAAAAACTTTTAGTTTATATAACTTGATACATAATATACCATTTTAACATTAAACATTGCATTAAATATTTTTTCCACTCGCTCATTATCGTACAATGTACATGTTTCCATGACACCAAGTGACATTTTAAATACACATTGACAAGGCGTTTTAATCACGGGCTTAAGTTAACAACAGGTTTTTAGTTACAGTCTAAAGTTATTTGATAGTTGTCAAATGTCATACAATCGTTAAAATAAAGTGCCCTTCTTGTAAAATAATACTAAACGTAAAAATTATTTTATTATCTCAATATAAAAATACGAAAGTATTAAATAGTCTTTCAAGGCCAATATTTGAAATTTCGCGTGGATACACCACCGTGGAGTGCCCATAAAACACTGTTGTTAGTCCATTTTCAAGGGATATATTTCGATTTACACTTAAAAAATTTACATTTTTACCAGCGCGCCGGTATTAGACATTTCCAAGAATGTTTACTCTTTTGTTTTATTATTTTATGTCGCTCTATATAAATATTTAATTTAATTATTAATCGTTTATAACTCTTCTATACACTCATTTAATTAAACATTCGCTCGCTAGTGCTTGCGTCTAATAAACTTGATACAGAATATACTAATATTATATAATCCATGTATATTTTTTACATTAATAATTTAATTTATTAAAAAAAAAAATTTGTAGGTATTTAATGTAATAAAATATAATTTAAAATTCATAAACCCTTTTACCTATAGAAAATAGCAAAATACCTATTTTTTAGGTTTGTACAATTTTTCATGGATATTTATTTTATTTTTTACTTTTTAGTTATAGTAAAAGGCTACATAATACTTTAAATTTAAAGATAATATGGTAAATAAAATTTAAGATTTAGGTTAGTTTAATTTTGCATTCTTAAATGTTTAGCACCTACCTGTAAGATTTCTTCCTGAAGTGCAGCAGACTCCTTTTCGGCCTCCAATCGCTTTGCAGGAAGTTTTATTATCCTTTCTAACGTGTGCAGGACAACTAACGTGAGGGACGCATACTGCAGGTTCATTGCATATATCTGTGTGTGGTTTAATGTCTTTTGGTGTATGGATGTGACTTTTATCATTATATTCTTCAGTATTTTTATCATGTGTTAAATGTGAAGAAGCATGTCTTGCTACTGCAAACCACGATAGTGATGCTAATAGAATTAACAATGTTTTAAGTGCCTCTTTTTGATTCATATTCTAAAACCATAAATTAAGGATAATTTATGGGATATAAATAACTAGAACAAGAGATAAAATCGTGTACATATTAACTGGAGTACTTTATGTAAATGTAAACAGGGTTTTTCAAAAACAATTAAAAAATTTATTTATTGAATTTGGAATGGATTAAAAGTTTCATAAATTCAAATTTAAAATTTGTTTACGTAATGAAATCTATTACATTACTTTATCTATTAATTTTTTATTTATTTTAAAAGGAACTCTCTTTGCGTTAATTAATTTTTATTAATGTGTGTGTTTGTTAATAATTATTAAATAATTAGATTTATAATTTAAGTTATCTATAAAAATATAAGAAAACTAAAAATTGAACCTATTTTGTAAATTAAAATAAAATAAAATAAACATGTAGACTTACGAACGGTATTTAAAACACTGCAACAAGTAAATGTAATTATTTGTATAACTTTTTACATTTATTTTTTTTTTTGTTAGTTTTTAAATAAATATGTTTATACAGCATGTTGGTCTAATTCAGAATAACTTAACCAAACAGGGTGTTACAGAGGTACCTATGTTACAAAATTTAAAGAACAAAATGATTGTTGCTATATAATCTGTGTGCTGTGGCTTAGATTGGTGCCACAACTTGTTTTATTAGTATGGGGAGTTGTCATAGTTTAACTGTAATCTTATAAAGAGAAAAAATTTGTAATCATCTCCCATTTCTTTGATCCGGATCCTTCTAAAAGTAAATTCTAAAAAACCTTATAGCATACTTCAAATGAGAGAACAAGATTTTTTTATTTTAATCACTATTCGTTTAAAATGAATTATAAGTCTATTCCATTTTTCCTTTTACGAGATTAAATATCGTCTATTTTGTCTGAATATAAATCTGTAAGTTTAAGACAAATAATTGGCCCACGTTACAGCAGAAAGCGAGGATTTCCCAAAATACTAAGGAAAAATGATTATGCAGTGGTACTTGCACAATACAAAGTATATGCAATACAATCAATGTTTAAGTGGATGCCAAAAAATGATGTAACTTTTTATGAAACTATTTTTGGGAGACTAAGTAAAAATAAAAAATAAAAGTTTTAGTATAGGATAAGTATTTGATGTGTTTGATACTTTTTCTATTTTTTTAATTTTATACCCGCTTGCCCTTATGCTAATTTTAGTACTGAATTTTGTACTAAAAATATTAGGTGGTTGCGCGAGTTGATTTAGTATGAAAAATATGTGTTTCTGTTTGCTACTACAAGAATTTTATTTAGTATGCAGGCATGAGGTCTAACAATTTTGTATTTTGTGTACTGAGTGAACATGATATAAGAAATAAATGTTGATAAAAATGATTCACACGTTATGTTTCCAAATAAATTAAGCAACATAAGAAATGAATTTAAAGAGTATTTTAACAGTATTGCATGAAACATTAATTTTTGCACGGTTTGCAATAGATAGAAGTGTAAGTGATCTTTTATAAAAAGCATGTACTTTGTGAGTGAAAATAATTTATTATTTAAAAGTAATCAATTTCATTTAAAAATTGTTTATTTTTTATTATAATAGTCACCTTTATTAAATAAAAGATAAAAATTACTAATCTTATCAGAGTTTTTTTTGCAGCTTCTTTCATGGTAAATCATTTTTTTACTGATGTAATGTGTTTTTTGCTCTAGATATGGTAAGCAGGATGTTATGTCAAGAGATTACTCATGCCCTCGTCTGGAAAACTCCAGAGGGAACAGGAACTAAAGCCGTCTAAATTCCCGCCCCTACCGGCTTCACCAGGACCGTATTTGGGCCAAAACATACAGGGTGGAGAAAAAATCCCGACGATTAATCCAAATATGGTAGCCAATCAATCCGCAAATGTGGCAAACGATCTCAGGGTGTTCCTTAAATTAAAAATTAAAGAAATGGAATGCTCTTTTAGGTACCGGAGCTATATATTCTTACATCGGAAAATCCGTAGTAGAAAATCTACCAAACCTGATGCGTTCCTACAACCAGTTACTAGGGCCTACACCATTGGTTGTCAATTTTACCAGAAATATACTTAGCACCTGTTTCATTTTCTACCCAATTTGGAGAAAAATATTATTTTGGGGATGGACTTTATATCTAAACACAGGATATTGGAACAATCCACTCAAAAACTTAAAACATTGCTCTGTTGACTCCGACAAACCGGCTACTAAAAGAACAACATAAAGTGGCCGACTTTTTAAGCACCGACATAAAATCCTTTGACAAAATCAAGGGCGTTACTCTGATGACTCAACATGAGATTCGTCTCCATTAAACAAAGGTTCCGGCCACAGAATCCCTGGATGAACACCTGACAGCTGAAGGTATCACTACATCACCAGACAAGGTCCAGGCCATCCAGGAAATTTGTCGATTTGGCAATTTCAAAAACTATTAAACATCTTTCATGATTATCAGATTCTTTATGGGAATGACCACCAGAGATTCGTAAAAACAGTTTTAGCGTAACTAGTTTCCGTCCCTTAAAGTAACCACTAAAGACCACTCTTCCAGTGCGTGGTCACCCGATTTAACTGTTACTGGATTTACTATCCAATATAGTTAAAAAAATTAATTAATTAATGCAAAAAAATCGTCAAAAATAAAGATAATCAGTATAATCTTAAAAAGGTGATATGACGCGATATATACTTTAATAATGCTATTTTTGTACTCCCACCTATAAAACGCCCATTATCGTACATGTGGCTATGATACTAAGTGATCTTTTAAATACACTATGGCCTTATGGCGCTTTAGTCACGGACTGAAGTTAGCAACAAGTTTTTAGTTACGGATTGAAGTTACCTTTAAGTTAGTTGACAGTTGTACCGTTGAACAATGTTATACAATCGTTAAAATAAAGTGCCCTTCTTGTGAAATAATACGTAAAAATTATTGTATTATCTTGATAAACAAATACAAAAGTTTTAAATAGTTTCTTAACGCCAATATTTAAAAAGTTTATATTTACGTTTGTAAATTTTTACTTTGAAATAATGAAGTATTATGTCTTACCTTGAAAAGGTTTTCAAATTTTTTGAATTTTTCGAATTGGAATCTTAGCAAAGAAAATATGATTTTTTTTCCAAAAGAGTACATTTAAGGGTTTTTGGTAGGCAATACAATCTTTTTAAAAACAAGAAGATAAAATGGTGAAAGATTGTTCTTTGAATAATTCTGAACATGCGACAAGCAACAATCTTTCACTATTTTCAGAGTGGCCTAAGCAAAGACCACTTTTTCAAAATGACATTTTTGTGAAAATTTTCGAAAACTAATCCTGAACCTATATTTACGTTCGTGACATGTTTTCCTTATAATTTTGACGTCCTAATTGTGATTCAGTTGTCAAATTTAGGTTTCAGTGATAACTTATCACTGATAAGTACCTACCTAATTGGTAATAAAGTTAAATAAAAAAATGTTTGTTCATTTTGGAAAATTTTATGCTAAAAAATGTAACAAACAATAACAAAAATAACTTTCAATATTTCGTTGGCCCTCCCCTAACCCGTAATAATTCGTTAACCCTCCTGGGCCTCGACCATCGATTCATCGCCATTCCACCCCAAACAGTCACTTCTCCACCTCCAAAAGCCACCCTTGCCTCCCGTTTCGTGCAATTTTATGCGAACCGTTGATTTGGAGATGTTCATTCCCGTAGCTGCAGCAAAGTCTATAGCATTGGTATATTAATCATTTAAACTTTAAAGGAAGAATTGAAGTAACCTGGGTAAGATAGGGGTAGGTATGTAGGTTGGTATATATAACTTATGAAATTTTGAAAAACACAAGCAAACTGAAAAAATCAAGAATATCCCTCATAATGGGTTTTAAATGTTTTTCAAGAACTAATTTTTATTTGATCCTCGATTTGAATATTCAGCGACATGATAATTTCGTACTAAAGATGCAAAACACAGTAAAAAAATAGTAAAAACCTGCAATCGTATTTTATTGGGACATTTAACAGCCAGCTTTCGAATCTTGTTTCTTGGTGATTTTGCTTTTATCTGAAACTTAAATTTGATAACTGAATCACAATCAGGAGGTCAAAATTATGAATAAAACATGTCACGAACGTAAATATCGGTTTAGGTTTAGTTTTCTCAAATTTTAAAGTTGTTGCTTGTCGTTTGTTCAGAATTATTTAAGGAACATTATTTCACCATCATATCTTCTTGTTCCTGAAAAGACTGAGTGTATTGCCTACAAAAAAGTCTTAAATGTAATCTTTTGAAAAAAAATCATATTTTCGTTGTCAAGATTCCAATTCAAAAAATTAAAAAAACGCTACAAGGTAAGACATAATACTTGATTATTTTAAAGTAAAAACGAAAAAAAAAAACATTTTGTTACAAACGGGGCTTGAATGAAATTTTTCACTGTTTAACATATCACCCTGTAGGAAATTTACTTAAAGAACCGTGATCTTCATATCTATAGATATGCTATATATAGCATAAATTGCCAAAGGATGAGGCTAGCAGACAACACAGACCAAAATAAAATAGTTCAAGAAAAAGTTAAGTCGTTTTGAAAAAGAACGAACTTTTTGGTCGCGACACATTGAGTGGGGCGCAGTTTAGATGAAGCATTAAAGGGTTTTACTCCATTTTCAAGGAGTACATTTCGCTTCACACAAAATTTTTTTACATTTGCCGCCGGTAATACAGATTCTTATTTTAAAGTTTCCTAATTTTTGTTTAGATGTCACTCCATACAAATATTTCATGTAAATCATTTTTAGCCGGTATAGCTGGCATTTTTTGGGTGAATGTAGTTAAGTACTTTATTTTTATTGTTTTAATTCAAATTCCACCATTTGAAATAGTGTAATTTTTTATTTCAATACAGAAGTTTACTAATATTATTTATTTAGGTTCACCTCAAACAAAATTAAGACACAATTTTTTAATTTAAACATTTATTTAGGTAAGACCAGGAAAATTAATTTAAAATTCAAAATTAATAAACTATTTTTTATTAAAAATATTTATTAACGTAAGACTAGGTAAATTAATTTAAAAGAGTAATATAATACAGTTATAACCAAACAAATTAACAATAAATGTATATATTTTAATCTTTTTAACTTCTTCAGACCACTTTCACCACTAGTATCCTTGACCAAATAGATTTTCATTCCAGTTGCATTGTTTATTAAAAACTTAGGCCAGTCAATTTTTTTGACGTCAAAATTAAACAACTCTTTATCATCGTCCGACAAAGAATTATAAAGCTGATTAGTGTTTTTTGCATGAAAATACCATTGTTTCGTCATAAAAACATCAAATAATTGTCTCATACTGTCAAATCGGCTATAAATATTCATAATGCTAAAAATAAATACAGGTCAAGTTTAATGCGTACTTTAAATTTTTTTAAATTTTGTATTCGGTTGTAAAGGATAGGGATTATATTATGTATTTTACTAAAATATATTTTATGTGAAATGAGAAAATAGTCCTACTAATGAAAATTATTTTTGATATCTTTGATTCACATTGAGCTTGCGTTGAAGCTTAGTTAAAAATGCACTTCTGCATCTCCGAGATTCGTATCCGTGTCTTCGAAAATCAATTACCCAATGACTTTACAAAAAGTATATGATTGAGAGTTTTTTAAATTGCTTTTTCTCAAAAATAGTATAATCTGTAACAAGTTTGGAATACGGTATATTCGCCTCGAATGAGAAATTTGTCACACGATTTGAAGGCAAGTTTGGGGTTTTACGAGAGCGGAATTCCGCATTAATGCATTTCCAAATGTGTTTGGCTTTGCAACGCGTTTTATCAATTTTCTTATTCCACATCACATATAAATTTAAAAATATTAAATTTGTTAAAATATACGTACAATGGTTTTTTTCCCATGATTTTTAAACAAAAATCAAACAAATAAAAGGGAATTATATTAAGAAAAAAAGCGTATATTTTGTATAAAGTTTCATTGGATGTTACCAAAAGAAACGGGTACCAAATACTTTTTTTGGCAGCTCCAAAGATATGGCATGCATGCAAAAATAAATTTATCATATATCCTAAAAAAATAATAAAAAATAAACATTTATATACAGAAAATTAAATAAGTTGGTACCGTAACAGCCTGCTTTAAACAACAAATAAATAAAAATTCTTATTTTTTCCGACCTGGCTTGGTTTTTTAATTAAAGGTTTTTTATTATATCTCGAAAATACTGGTTTAAATAGATAATTTAAATCGTAAAAAATCATATATAGAATTATATAAAACAGATTACAACTAATATTTAAATATTAATTAATTGAATAATTATAATTATTAAATATTAAATGATTATTAATTACTTATATATACATACATAATATGTATGTATATATAAGTAATTAATAATCATTTAATATTTAATAATTATAATTATTCAATTAATTAATATTTAAATATTAGTTGTAATCTGTTTTATATAATTCTATATATATATTATATATAAAAGATTGGGCTTATTAAGTATATCCATAAAATAACAATTATTGTATCGTTTACTGTGATTACATAATAAAGACTTTTACATACTAAATAAATGAAATACCTATACGCCATAACGCGCCACTGGTTTTTTATTGATGTAGATAAACAAAAAGAACCCATTAAATATACGTAGTTTATTATAATATTAAATAATACTACGGTTGTATCACAAGTCTTTATTTGTATTGTTTATTTTCTTTTTGAATTTGTTTTAAATTGTATTTTTTACGTTTTTAGTTAGGTTCCAACTTAATCTAACTTCCTCTAATCCCTTGGGACTGCAGTCTTTTCTCTGTCATTTTGGTTTTGCATTCAAGCAATCTGTAATAATTACAGATTGCACAAATCCAGAACCAAATCAATAATTGTTGAGTTTAAAAAATCGATATTTTTTATAATTTACAAAATTAATTTAATTTGATTATGACCCTGGTAAATAATCAAAGAAGCAAGATCCCTGATGACATATTAGCATGTGTTACAACACTAACATACATACATATCGCCATTGAAAATATGTAAAGGTACTCGTATATCTCGTTTGTTGCGTTTACAATTTTAGGTAATAAAGGTTAGCATATTTTTGCTTAGGAAAAAAACAAGATAGGCCTTTAGGTTTTCTCAACAGCGATATACAGGATGCCAAGGCGCACCAACTTTTTAATTTTAAAAATTGTTTTAATTTAATAATATAATGAGTACATAAAAGGTTCGTTTTATCAAGCAGTTCTCGGACTATTTGAATGCGCATAACAACCAATAATCTCACTATCTTATTACTTAAAAGTTATAAGGAACAAATTGTTGTTATTTTGCATGCGAATAGTCCAAGAACTACCTACCAAGAACTGCTTTGAAACAAACAAACAGAAAAATAAAATTTAAAAACTAGTTTTTTAGAAAAAAGAATTTTTTTATTTTTAAAATAACCACCCCCTTTTTTTGTATGGAGTTAGTGCACCATTCTAGGAACACAACATATAATATATATAATTAATATATAAATATAAATAAATATATTATAAATTAATATATAAATACAGGGTGAAACCAAGAGCAGGGTAAATTTAAAGTATAATAATCGACATCAAAATGAGGTTAAACAATGTCAATTATGGAAAAATTTATCATCGCGATGGATGCAGTTTTCAACCATCCAAATGAAATCGTCCATCATGATGGACGTTGCAGGCAGAGGATCAAAAACTTTATTCAACATATTTTAATTGAGATTGTGTAAAATTTTAAAATGTTTGTGTCACCCTGTATAATTGTATACTTACCTAAATGAATGGGATTTTCATATCCACTGACGCAGTTATAAAGGGTTATGTTATTAGATTGATAAGCACTTTTGCTAAAAAAATAGCTATGTAGGTACAGTTGTTTTCATTAAAACAGCGTTCAAGAATTAGAATGAAAGAAAACTGTCAACATTATCGCGTTAAACCGGCTTTCCACTGACTTAAGTCACTACAACTGACAGTAGAAAATAAAAATGCCTCGTCAGTTATCACAAGTTGAAAAGGCTCAAATAGTATCAAGAATCGAAGAAGGATGGTCAATTCGTCCTGTAGCGCAGTTGTATAATAGAAATAAAAAAAATATATTAAAAATTAAGCAACGCTGGGAACAGGAAGATTTACTAAACCGAAAAGTTGGTTCAGGTCGTCCCAAAATGTCCATCCCTGAACAGGATGCTGCTTTTTTGGGATATTTAAGAAATAATCCATTTGCAAACGGGAGGGATGCTGTTATTGGTACAGAATTTCCAGGCTCTCAACCTACCTCCAGCAGAAGGGTCAAGAAATCTTAACTAAAAAATAGACCAGCTGCAAAAAAAATGTTTCTAACAGAAGAACGAAAACAATCAAGGGTTATATTTGCATTAAATTACATATACCGCAATCCCCAATTTTGGAACAGGGTAATTTTCACTGAAAAAAAGACCTTTCAGTCAACTTAATAATATAACGGCCAAATTCGTGTTTATCGCCCTGACAACACTAGGTTTGAAGAACGGTATACCAACCCCCTTGCTACTAAACATGGCCATTTTTTCTGTGAACGTATGGGGCTGGATAAGTGTTTATGGATCTGGTGTTTGTTGGCTAATATAGGGAAGTTTTAATGTCGAGAATTATGTGAACATTTTGGAGAACATACTGCTACCATTTGCCCAGCAAATATATCCGAATAATAACTTTATATTTCAGCACTGCACTTTCCACACTACCAATACTGTTACCCACTGGTTTCAAACCCATAATGTAGAAGTGCTTATAGTCCCGATGTAGCCTGCTTATAGTCCCGAAAATATTTGGGGTTTGATTGTACAAAAAATATATAAACGAAATTACAGGCCTCAAAATTCTGAGGATTTATGGGAAACTATACATGACTGCTGGGAAGATATTAATCCAAATATTAATCCAATTATTGTATTAAATTTAATTCAGTCCATCCCAAATAGATTGGCTCAAGTAATAGAAAAGCAGGAATACATGACTAAATATTAAATTTTTTTAAATGTTTGTTTTTTTTTCATTTCTAATAATAATTTTTGTAATAATATTTTTTCTCTCATTCTAATTCTTGTACGGTTTTTTATTGAATACAACTGTACAGGGTGTCCCAAATTGGTTGTCCGTATAGAGTCATATCTCTTAACCTAAAAGAGCTAAAAAAAATCTGTCGACACTAATGAATTCTGTGATAAAAAGTGTCTACATAACATTTTAAACCTGTATTCGTAACTCAAATATTAACGAAGCTACAAGCATTTGTCAAAATTGGCAAAAATTGAAAAAAATAGGTATATCTCCTAAACAAATGCGAATCGAGAAAATTCAAAGACATCATCCGATGTATCTTTAAAAAAGACGACGGGGATGCGTGGTCGAATTTTTTCTAGCATTTATATTTACTGAGATAGCCTATACGGACAACCAATTTGGGACACCCTGTACATTTAAAAATGAAATTATAAAAAAATCGTACCTTTTCCTGTAATTATTCCAACCCATGGCTAAAATCTGATTGGCTACAAAATCAGCTGGTATAATATCAAAAACAATATTTTCATCAAGCCTTAATGTTCTTGTCAATCCTAATCCAACTGCGACGGCCATGCCACTTACTGTTAGGTAGTTGTCTACAAAACCCACTAAAGGCTCTTTGTGTGTTGCCATAACTAAAAGATTTATAAATACTGAATTTAAAAATCATATATGATTTATGATTTATATATAAAAGTTTGTTTGAATTTTAAATTCTTTAAAAAAAACAAAAGGCAATACATAATTTTTATATATTATAACATTATTTATTACTTACTAACAGTGAACTTACAATTTTCTTTTCTACACTAATAAAGTTAAATTTTACTATCTCCTTAGAAACAAGAAAGAAGGTGTGTATACGGATAGCCTTGCAAAACACCCACTAATGGCTAGGCAGAAAAATATACCGTTACAACCATAGCAATGAATTTAAAAATCTAACGTTATAAAAAAATTAAAAATTAAGTTAAAAACGTTAATAATTTTAAAGTTTTTAAAATTATGAGTTTTTTAATTTAAAAGTCTATCATATTAATAAGATTAATAGTAAAAAATGTATCTCGGTATACTTTTATAAATATCAACAAAGATTAATCTGCGTCGCCCGAAAAGTAAAAACTGGGAAAAAACTCGGAAATACCCACTGAGACCATTAAATTTACTGTGCGGACTTATATGGGTCGGGTATTTATTTTACATAAACTAACCAAAATACTTGGTTAAAAAAGTGTTTACATTAAATATTATAAAATTGTATTATTATTACTTACCTATGGAGGGACGAATTATACTTATAGGAAGTCCCACACCTTCGCGTTTTATTATAGTTTCCGATACATTTTTGGTAAAGGCGTAGGTATTTGGAAAATCTTTAATTATTCTAAAAAATACAGAATTTAACAATAGTGTATATTTTTTGTAAGCCATAAATACTTTGGTGTTAAATCTGTAATATAATCATCATTAAATGTTTTAATCATTTCAAGTAATTTATCAGGTTCCATTGCAGATTCATAAAATATTTCATCTATTTCATTTCTATTCATGTTTGAATAAGCCGTAGATACATGAACATAGGACTAAAAATAAATATATAACAATACAGCGTACGACAAATACATCATTCTTTTTAATAAAGGGTTACCACAAATTTTATGTATTTCTAAATATTATGTAAAATACCTAAAAACATTAAATACAAAGTTATTTTATACAGGGTGTCCTGAAACTCGTGCTAAATCACGCAATTGGTCCTTCCACCAAAAAAACTAATAAAGTTGAGTTAACGTTTGCCTAAATGTCATTTTTGAAAATGTTGTTTCATCAAAAAACCTATTGGATTAATCTATATTTTGGTGCCAAAGCAATGATCAGAGTTTGTCAAAGTTTATTTGTTCATTTTACACTTAAAATATTGATTTAACATAAACTAATTTTTTTAATTAAAATGTTTATCCTAGTTTGATTTAATAGCTGAAATACTGAAATTTTTAGGATTACCTAAAAAAAACTATTAAATTAACGTTTAGTTGCTCTTTAAATCCAAAACATTAAATTTGTTCATTTAACATATTGTAAATGTTACTTTAAAATTTGTTAATTTTGCATTCATAACATTTCCGTGAAGGGCGCTTCGAACCAGGCCCGTTCCTGGCGAGCGTGCAGTGCGTGCACGCACGCAGGCGCAACATTTTGGGGGCGCAAAATCAAAGAGTCAATCAGTACTTTTTAACGATAAAGTTTCTTGCAATTAAAAAAATACTTAAACATACGTAGGATAAAGGTTACCGCCTTTCTTTGCGTCTGCCGCATTAAAGCCTTATACCGCTCTTTTTTTCGGCCGCTATAAAGCGCCTTTTGCCGCCTTGATATTGGCGGCTTAATTTTTTTGATATGAATATTAAAAGAAAGGGAGAACAATTGTCTTAATATTTTTAGTATTTGTTTGATAGTTGCAGTAGTCTACACAGTGCACAGTGGTTATTTTCGTTTTAATAAGTGGTAAAAAGTGTTAAAGTAAAAGTATAGGTAAGTGTGTATTACAAAAATTAATATTAGATAAAATTTGTTTAAAAATATTTACAGGAATATTTTCAACAAATCGAATATTTGTATATACGTAAAATGTATTATATGATGTGTTTCTTTTCAGAAATGAGTAGTGGCTCAAAAAAAAAATTATCGGGAGCCCAATTCAAGAAACGGCGGCTGGAAATGGTGGCAGAGAGGGAAAAACTAAGTGGATCTATGAACAAATTTTTAAAATCTAACTCTTCCACTCCACAACCTTCCCTATCAAATGTAGAACTTGATCGAGAGACTTTGGTTGATGATAATCAGCAGCGAGACAGCAGTATTCCGGTATGCAATGATAGAGAAGTTACTCCATTGTTTATCACGGATAATATGAATGTTGATATAGCCGACCCAGCTACATGGCCTAATTTATTGAGCAACAACTTAGTTGAACTAATTGTCACGAAAGGCGCTGTGCAGATTATAGAAGATTTTCCAGTTGATGAAACCGGAAGAAAATTTTCATCCGTTAAATATACAAGAAAATTACCAAACGGCGAAAAAGTTCATAGGGATTGGCTAGTATATTCTAAAACAACTAATGCTGTGTTTTGTATTTTTTGTAAATTATTTAGTTCTCTGTCCCATCAATTGATTTCTGGTTACTCTGATTGGAGACACCTATCGACCACTATTTCCCGCCACGATAATAGTATGGAACATGTAAAATGCGCTCAAAAATGGTACGAGTTAAAATTACGGTTGGATAAAGGTTGTACTATTGATAAAGAGCACCAGAAACAATACGAAATTGAAAAAAAACGGTGGCGTGCAATTATTAAAAGGATGATTTACATTGTGCAATATTTAGCCGGTCAAAATCTAGCATTCAGAGGAGATAGTCAAAGTCTTTATGAACTGAATAATGGCAAATTTTTAAAATTAGTTGAGATGGTTGCTAAATTTGATCCAATTATAATGGAGCATTTAAATAATATTCAAAACTCGAAAAACTTAAATCAACATATGCCTCATTATTTAGGTAATCATTTTCAAAATGAACTAATAAGTTTGTTGTCAAAAAATATTAAAAAAGAGATTTTAATGTGTCTTAAGACAGCAAAGTATTTTTCAATAATTTTAGATGAAACTCCCGATGCTAGTCATATTGAACAGCTCACTTTTATAGTACGATTTGTTCATTGTACCCCAGGGGCAGTAGAAATTAGAGAACATTTTTAGGATTTTTTGAAGTTTTAGATACTACAGGGAAGGGGCTTTTTAATTATTTAAAAAACGAAATTTTGTCAAAATTTGAAATTGATTTGAACGATATAAGAGGGCAGGGATATGACAACGGCGCAAATATGTCTGGCAAGCATATAGGTCGCCAAGCTCAAATTCAAAAGGTCAATCCCAGAGCAATGTTTGTGCCCTGTTCAGCTCACACATTAAATTTAACTGTTAATGACGCTGCCAAAATTTCCTTTGAAACTGTAGGTTTTTTTTCAATTATTCAAGAACTCTACAACTTTTTTTCCGCTTCTCCTTACAGATGTAATATTTTAAAAAAGAATGTCCCCAATTTAACATTAAAATCAGTAAGTGAAACTAGATGGGAAAGTAGAATTAAAGCACTTCGTCCTCTTAGATTTCAGGTATTGGAAATTACTAAAAGCTTAGATTTTTTGTCAGAAGATACATCACGCGATATAAATACAAGACATAATGCACAATCTTTATTGGACAAAATTAAACTTTTAAATTTATTTGTTCAATTTTAATCTGGTATGATATTTTAGAAAAAATTAATATAGTAAGTAAAATGTTACAGGATCCAAATACAGCAATAAATGATTGCCATGAAGAAATTAAAAATCTTATTAATTATTTTAACGAAAAACGGTCAGACAAAAATTTTGATTTGTTAATCAATAAAGCTAAAGAAGAAGCAGAAAAAAACGATGTAGAGCAGGTATTCCCAATATTACGACAACGAAAAATTAGGCAAACATTTGCATATGAAAGTAAGGATGAATCTGTAGTAGACTCAAAGCAAAAATTTAAAATTGATTTTTATTTTCAAATTTTAGATACAACCATTCAGTCTTTACAAAGGAGGTTTGAAGGTATAACCAAATTTCAAAATTTATTTGGATTTTTATGTAATTTAAAAAATTTAGATTCTGACCGAATTAAACAATCATGTGTAAATTTAGATACCGCATTGCAAATTGAAATTGATGGAGAAATATGTAAAGACATTGACGGCCTTGATTTACATAATGAAATTTTAACATATAAAATTCTTAATCCTAAAATTACTACAGAATTATCCTTTCCCATAGACATTTTAAATTATATAGTAAAAAAAAATCTACAGTCGCTTTTTCCAAATTTATTTATAGTTTTAAGGATATACCTTACTTTACCCATTTCAGTAGCTTCAGGTGAAAGAAGTTTTTCGAAGATAAAACTCATAAAGAATTTTTTAAGAACCTCTATGAGTCAAGAACGTTTGTCAAATTTGGCCATTATTTCCATTGAAAATAAGATTTCTGAGGCTCTTGATCATAATGAGATGATCAACGAGCTTGCGTCTGTAAAAGCCAGACGGGTTTTATTTTAATGTATTGTTTATTTATTTTTTTTGTTTATTACAAACATATTACAATTTGTATTATTTTTAAAACGTTTATTTTTTTCGTTCATTAATGTGTTTCTGTTACTGTTTTGTGTTTTTGCTATTGATTATTGGCGTTTATTCTCTTATTTTATTTATTTATTTTTTAAATATTTGTAATGACAGTTATTGCTTTGTTTATATAGTTTATTTTTGTTTTCTTTAGATATCTTTGTTACTAAATATTTTTGGTTATTTTGTTTGTTTTGGTAATTTAATAAATATTTTTTTATACTTATTTTCAGCAGTTTTTTATAATTTTAATTACATAGGTATTGTCAGTTTGTCGCAAAATATGGATATTTTAAGTTTAAGGGTTAAAAATTAAAATATTAATTGTATTGTATTTATATATAAAAGGGGCGCACCAAAGAATGCTGCACGCAGGCGCCAGACACCCCAGGAACGGGCCTGCTTCGAACACCCACGCCATGTCATTAGACGGTGTTGATCACGTGATGTTCTTACATCTCGCCTCAGTTGGCAATAAGACTTTTATAATACCATTTTTCAATTTAGAGCTTCATGTTCGATATACAGGGTGACAATGTTTGAAATTTAAAACTGATTTTTTTTAATAATTAGAGTAATTAATAAGATAATAAGTTCAAATTCGGTGCACTTCTTTAACATAAATAGTTACATCTTTTGAGAATAACAAAACAAAAAACAATTGTCAAATAATCAAAATAGGGGGGGTCCAGTACTCACTGACTCCCCCTATTTTTTAGTACGTGCGCCAATGACTTCCAAACTTTATTTTTTCAAGTAGTTATTTATTGGTGATTATTTTTTGTCTCCTATAAAATTTTGATAAAATGATTTGTTTTAGAGATAATTTGTAAAGTATTGGTCCTTGATTGATTCCTACGCGGCTTAAGGCAATCTCATAATTTTCAAATACTCTAAATCAAGTGAGCCGCTGTGGCATTACCATTGATACAATTAAGTAAAACTTTGGAATAGGTACCTAACAATACCAAAAACTAGCCAAAAATTTTTGTGTCGTCAATTACTAATTAAATTGAAAAGGCAACAAAGTAAATGGGTTTCGGTATAAACATTACTCTTCGACTAGTATTTGTTATTTTTTTCTTCACATCATGCCTACCTAAAAATTCAATCTCCAATCTTATTTATTAAGTCTTATCAAAATTTAATATCGAATTGAAGTTTAAAGGCGCACATTAAAGTGTATATATAGATATATTAATATATTAATTTTTGACATTTAAAATTTAAACTTTAAATTGTATTTTTACTTTAAAGTGATTTTAAGAACCAAAAATGAAAAAAAGAGCAGGAAATGGAAGTGGTAATGAAAGTGGTAGAGAAAGAGAAAGGATACGAACCTTTATGTCGTCGTTGTAAATTTGTTTTGTTTTGTTGCGTTACCTTTACGCCCAAGAAAAACCAACGCAATATTTCATTACAAAATTTTATGAGATATACCTACTACTTTAATTTTGCAGGAATATTAAATGGACCTGATATACGACGATCAAGCATTCAAAAATGCTCTCAGTTGACGAGCTTGTCGCATACGGCAGTGTTAAAGCTGTCATTAAAAATGTTCTTGGTTCATATCGGGCTTAAAATTGGCCCAAATTCATTAAAAAAATGCTCTCTGTTTTGTAAAGAATTAGCGTTAATATGTCATTTAAAATACATTTTGTTTTTCCTTGATAAATTTGCTGCTGAACTGATGAACATGGAGAACGATTTTACCAAGTAACTGAAAATCTAGAGCATTGATAGATATCTATGGTTATAGCGGAAAGAAGTTGGATCATTGCTAGGAGACATTTGCTGGAATTTGCAGCAAAAGATGTTTGACGATGATGAGGATTAAGCACAATAATACTCCTACTATAGTTCAATTCGATATTTGATATTTAATAAATTTAAGGTAGAAAAAAGTAAAATATAAAATAAAAAATACTTGTTTACGTTGTTGCCCTTTTAATTCAATAATTTATATAAACTACAAAAAAGTTTTAGTTTTAGTATTTAAAATGTCATATTGTTAAGATAAATATTATCTATTTGCCGTATACCAATTACTTCAGCTCATTCAAGATAAATTTAAGCCAAATAATTTAATATATAAATAAAATACTAACAAAAAACTTACATTTTGAGGTGATTGAGCAGAGCATTTTATTACGAAATTATTTTAAATCCTAGACGTCCTAAAGAAAAACGATATGATATCTATGATATTTTTGAAATCAGCGGCCCAAAATTAGTTAAACTAAGCTGGAATACTTAATGCTAGGAAAAAAAGTTTCTAAAAGTTTCTAAAACTATCATAGTTATAGTTGATAGTAATTAACCCTTAAAAATTATCTTACAATCCTTACAATCAATTTATCTCTAAAAAGTTATTTTTAATTAAAAAAAAAAATGGTTTAATATCCAAAATTAAACTTGTTAGTAGTTTCTTAGCAACCGAAGACGAAATACAATCAGGGACAGGAACACGTACTGAAACTATAAAAGTAAGACTGACGTACTGACAAACCTTGAAAAGTACTGATTTCAGTACATATCACTGGCTCTGGCAACGCTGCGCGCTGGTAAGTTGACAAAATTGTTTTTGTACGCAATAGGCCAGCGTAGTTATTAATTGGAGCACACCTTATTTATGATCATGAAATCAGTGGCAGACTGCAATGTTTTGATTTTAAAGCATGCAAATAGTAAAATAATTCATTGCTTTGCACCTTATTATTTATTATTAAACAATAATAATGAGCGGCTGGCTGTATTGTTTTAATTTTAATTTAGTGCACTCTTTTATTGCATTAATCGAACCCTATTATTTAAATTATCAATCTTAATAAGTCCTAAACTAAAAACTCAATTGTTTATTTAAGTACACGATTTTATGCCAAATTTTTTTTTATTTCACCCCATATTTGTTCCCAGTCCACGCTTGAACATCTGCGTGGTGCATTAGTGCGCCATTTTCGGGACAAAAAAATACGATATTTCTTTTAGGCCGTTTAAAAAATTTATACTGTTGCTTATATTTTTGCACTTTGAAATAAATAATAAGTTTAAATAAATAACGAAAAACACAAATGAGTAATTTGTTGTATTATTATTATTATATTAGAGAAATACTTACATGTAAATTATGCATCTTTTTGGCAATCCTTAATAAATCCCTAGAGGCAATAACATTCATTTTTGTCGCCAAAGATAAATGTTCCACAAAGCTAACTGTGGCAGCACAGTGAATTATACAATCAACTTCATTTATCAATATTTTAATGTCTTCATCACTTAAACCTAAATTTGGACAAGTTAAATCCCCATTTAAAATGGATATTTTTTCAAAAAAGTTTGGATTTAAAGATTTAACTTTGTCATATATCTACAAGAAAATAATTAAATAGATTAATAATGTTAAATGTTATAATATTATAAAGCTTCTAACTTACAGGACTTTCAAGTAATTTCTTTAGACGTGTGTTTTGGTCCTTTCCTTTCTTTACTCTTACTAGAATGTAAATTTTCTTTAAATTTAATGATCTTAAACATTTTTCCAGCAATAACTTTCCAATAAATCCTGTGGCACCTGTTAAAAAAATTACTTTCCCTTCGTAAAATTTTTGTATACTTGTTTTTTTTTTCGACATTGTTTGCTAATAATTCGTAACTGTATTATTTTAAGATTTTATTCATTCTTATATACACTATTATACATACTATCGCGGTATACCAGAGGGGGTATCCGAAAAAGTTATAAATGACAAAATATAATTATAAGAAACCTAATTAGTTCACTAGCCTCGGATAAGAGAATAATTTAATTAGTTAATCTATTGATAGGCCGAGAATTTTTTATAATTAAGTCTGGGAATAAATTAGTTACAATGTTTTTTTTATTTTTTGCCTAATTTTGTGCATCCCGCCTCTGCACATTAGCTTATTTATTATTCATGATGAATATGCATATTTATGAATTTGTTTACACGTTTTCTTTTTAAACAGTTATAGGCGATTCACATTTAAAATTTAATAAATAATTAATATCTTGCAAATTTGCAATTGAAATCATCAATAATTAAATTAATATTTTAGGTTCAGTAGTTATGATAGCTCTATTATACGTAAGTAAATTTATTATGCAATATTTAAAAACGGAAATACATAGTTAAAAAATATTTATGCAATTTATTTAAACAGTTCTATAAGATGGAATCAGTTGATCCTGGACCAAATAGGGATTTATCGGTTTCTTCTGCATTTAAATACATGTCGCCATTTTCTCTTTTATGCATTATTTTATTTTCAGTAAATATTAATTCTTCAAAACAGTCCGGTCCCTGTAAAAAGTCTTTTTAGCCAAATAATATTGGGTAATTAAATACAAAATTATTACTGCTCCTTAGCAACATCTTAGTTAACTCAAATACTTTTTTTTTGCTCTAGATTAAACACTTGTAAGGTCTTGGTGATACAAAAATATAAAAATTGTACAATAATTGTAAATTTTTATCTAAACTGCGCACCACTCAATGTGTCGCGACCAAAAAGTTCGTCCTTTTTCAAAACGACATAACTTTTCTGTTTCTTAAACGATTTTATTTTTGTCTATAATGTCTACTAGCCCCATCCTCTGGCAATTCATGCTATAGATATGAAGCTCACGGTTCTTCAAGTAAATTTCGTACAGGGTGATATGTAAAACGGTAAAAAATTTCCTTTTTTTTTGTTTTTACTTTGAAATAATGTAAGTATTATGTCTTAACTTTAAAAGGTTTTTAAATTTTTAGAATTGGAATCTTAGCAACGAAAATATGATTTTTTTTTCCAAAAGAGTACATTTAAGGGTTTTTGGTAGGCAATACACTCAGTCTTTTAAAGAACAAGAAGATAAAATAGTGAAAGATTGTTCTTTGAATAATTCTGAATAAGCGACAAGCAACAAACTTCCATTATTTTCAGATGAGCCTAAGCAAAGATCACTTTTTCAAAATGACATTTTGGTGAAAATTTGCGAAAACTAAACCTGAACCGATATTTACGTTCGTGCCATGTTTTCTTTATAATTTTGACCCCTGGTTCAGTTGTCAAATTTAAGTTAAGATAAAACCAAAATCACCAAGAATCAAAGTTCGAAAACAATTCCCGGCTTTTAAATGTCTTAATAAAATCCGATTGCTGGCGTGTTTCTTGCATATTTATGATTAAAATGCCATTTGGGGATTCATTTTTTGGGCGAAATTACTGCAATTTGTTTGAGTGGTTAGGATAATGTTACATAAGTTACATTTACATTGCGCACTAGTGATAACTTATCACTGATAAGTACGTACCTAATTGGTAATAAAATTAAATAAAAAAATGTTTGTTCTTTTTGTAAAATTTTATGCGAAAAAATTTAACAAACAATAACAAAAATAACTTTCAATATTTCGTTGGCCCTCCCCAACCCGTAATAATTCGTTAACCCTTCTGGGCCTCGACCAAGTTCTTTATAAATTCCTGGGGTATCCCATTCTTCCTGAATAGCATTTACCAATTCATCCAAATTTTCCAAGCGTCCTTCCCTCTCTTTCATCTTCAGTTTCATCCTGCTCCACACATGCTCAATAGGATTCATATCCGGACACAAAGGTGGCCAATTTATTCCCTAAATATGGTGGTACCTTAAATACTCATTTACGATATTGGCGCGGTGCGGACGGGCATTGTCGTCCACAAACACCAATTATTAGCAACATTTTGAGCATAAGGGATCACGATATCACTAACAACCAAATCTCTATATCTCTCAGCATTCACTCTTTCCATTTATCGCCATTCCACCCAAACAGTCACTCCTCCACCTCCAAAAGCCACCCTTGCCTCCCGTTTCGTGCAATCTTATGCGAACCGTTGATTTGGAGATGTTAATTCCCGTAGCTGCAGCAAAGTTCAGAATTGGTATTTTAATCATTTAAAATCAAGAATATCCCTCATAATGAGTTTTAAATGTTTTTCAAGAACTAATTTTCATTTGATCCTCGATTTGATTATTCAGCGACATATATGTCGCTGAATAATATATATAATATCGTACTAAAGATGCAAAACACAGTAAAAAAAATAGTAAAAACCAGCATTCGTATAAGACCATTTATGAGACATTTAACAGCCGGGAATTGTTTTCAAATCTTGATTTTTGGTGATTTTGGTTTTATCTGAAACTTAAATTTGATAACTAAAGTTACTAAAATTGTAACCTACGTTAACAAAATATGTCCTCTTTTCAGGGCCGTAGCGAGGCTGGTGCAGGCGGTGCGGTGCACCAGGGCCCCCGACCTCAAAGGGGCCCCCAAAACTAAAAAGTTTTACTAAAAAATCGTAATTTTCGATATCCTATCCTATCCTAAAGTTTTGCACCGGGGCCCCTGAGTCCGTCGCTACGTACCCTGCCTCTTTTAATAGTTTATATTAATACATTGATTTACATTTTATATCATAATAACCCAGAGAACCAAGGTTTGGAACAGAACTTAGTTAACTTTGTTCCAACCAAATTTGGCGTATGATATTTTATAATATCTATTGGCATTGTTGTCGCCACATAAATCTGTTCATTACGCGAAATAATAATACAAATATTGAAATACAATGCATTAGGAGCCATATGGAATGATCCCATTATTAAACATTACGTACAATGACTTCATTTAAAGGCAAAATTTCACTAGGAGGCAATTGATTGAATGGCTTTCTAATTTTTTTCTTTTGTAACATAAGTAATATAAACCACATATAATCGTTTCTTATGACTATTTTTTCCAGGCTACTGTTTGTTTCTGTTAATTTATCAATCCATAATTGTAACATATTTCTTTCTAAAAATAAAAAATAAATTAAAAACCGAAATAACTGCTTTAATTTATAAAGGTGTTAAATTACCTATTGGTGGGTAAAGTTGTTGAAGTGTTTGAACCAATTTAGTATTGTTTATAAAGCAGTTGTTTAGTGCTCTAAAAGTTTGTTTGTCCATTTGAATTTTTAAAATGTCCAAATGATATATGCCAATGTTTTTAAAATATTTACTGACAATTTTTTTAGGTTGGCATACATTTTAAATTAATTAAGACCCTAAATTTAGCCTATAGGGGAGAGTAGGGTAATGAGGACCCCCTAAGCAGTTTTGCTCATATTTTGGTTATTTTTTCGAAATTATTTAAGTTTATGTTATTTTAGCTTTATTTAATTATTAACAAACACAAATCGTTATTTTATTTATAACAGCAGAAACACATTTTTATAAAAATAAAAAAAGTCAAAAGTGCCTCATTATCCGCCGCGGGAAATGAGGACCCCAAAGTAAAACTGCTCTCTATTTACAGACATTGCATGTATAATGTACATTGTATATGCCGATTCACATTTGACGCTGCATCTTTTACAGCTTTTTTAGACTCTTGTATATTTTTAAGAGGAAAATGAGTTACAGCTATTGCTGGAGTAGTCTTCTTTATAAAAAATATTTTCATTTGCTCTGTTTGTACAGATTTATAATCGTTTTAAACGTTGTGTTTCTCACAAAGGCACTTGTAATCTTTAAAAGTTTTAAGAACAACCATTTTACTCCTCATTAATAATAATAATAATATTAATAATAAATCTTTATTTCCCAACAGATTTACAATCCAATTACAGGAAAATATACAATAAATAGTCATAAAATTTTATTCAATAAAACAAAAAATAAACAAATAATTAATTCAAGTAGGAATAAAATAAAATAAAATCAATAGAAAAATATAGACCAACCAAATCAATTAAATTGCACTTTGGCACATTTTACAATAAAACATATATTATCAAAGTTGATATCACATTTAGCAGAGATCCTATTAAAATTGTCACAAACAATATATAAAGGAAAACTAAGCATAATGTTTGTCTTGCATGGTGGCAGATAAAATGTTTGACTTGTCCTTGTTGATTGTCTTGGTATTAAGAAATTTAACATAGATAAAAAACACATACAATCAATCTTATTCTGGACCAGCATGCTCACAAACCTAATGGAATAGACAACCCTTCTACTCTCCAGACTTGCAAAGTTAAACATATCCAGCAGTACCTCATTATTAAATCCTCCCTCAGGATAGGTACCTTGAGTTTTAAAATAGATAAATTTTAAGAATTTTCGCTGGACTTTCTCAATTTTAGTTTTATAAGTAGAATAGAAAGGGTTTTGAAACAACATAGGAACTGTAGAGAGTCCTAAGTGCAAGATAATTACTAAAGCCAATGCAGTTAGGAATTTTAAATCCTGACATACGATACGTAGAGCAACAAATATTATTAACGTGAGTATCGAACAAGAACCTCTGATCAAAATGAATACCTAAGTCTTTAACCTCTGTTTTTCTTTGGACATTTTTCAATATTTAAATGCAAAAGATTTCGCTGACACCAATTATACAGATTCACCAATTGCTTCTGTATAAAATTTCAATCTGAGGAACTCCCGAAGTTGCAAAAAATTTCGTTGATAAATACCCATGTTAGCTAACATATTGTGTTCGTCTTTTTAAGTATGACTTAAAAAAAAATATTAAATTATCGGTAAATCCAAACGTTCTCAGCTTACTTAATATCACTCGATGGTCAATCTTATCAAAAGCCTTTGCGAAGTCAGTGTACAAAACATCGACCTGCCCCTGACTGTCAAGAGTATTGTGACAAACAGGTTAAGTTTGTAACTCTAGAACGCGATCTTACAAATCCATGTTGATATGGAGTTATAAGATTGCAAACATGGCAGTAAACATACACATACGCTGACATCTCGAAAACCTTTGAAAAATTATTCAGGATAGCAATTGGCCCCTAAACAAAAACAAAAACTTGTTTTTGTTTAGGAATTGGCCTATAGTTCTGGATTTGACTTGGGTCACCCATTTTTAAAACCGGACATATACGCGCAATTTTCCAAATGTCTGGGAAAGTTGAACTATTCAGAGATAGGTTAAACAATTTTAGGAAGGGTTTAATGAATATGTGTTTACAGTATTTTACTAGATAGCTTTTGTAAAAAATAAACCTTATTCTTTCAGGGCTGTCATAACTATCATCCTAGGTTTGGTCTAGGACTATCATATTTAAATTTTTGGGTTAGGTAAATTAACCTTTAAATTGAAATTTGACAGTTTGATGACAGCCCTGATATAAGGTTTATTTTTTACAAAAGAGTAGTAAAATGGTTGTTCATAGCACGTTAAGGCCTCATTTGAGGCTTAAAAGTGCTAAAATGATTTTTAATCTTTATAAACAGAGCACAAACCCAAAGCACAAGAATTGTAAACAACAAATATGGCGCCGTGAAACTCTGTGTTGTAGTATTTTTAGTACGAGATAAAACAGACCTTTTTGTGTGGATTTTGATAAATTGTATGATTTTAAATGGTACAGTGGCGGAAACGGAAGTTTGAACATCATATGTTGGTTGTCAATTATTCTGTAAATAGCAAAGATACAATATTGAGAATTCGCAGTCAAAATGACCAGTGATAACCATAAAGGATGTTTAGATTTTGATGTCAACGGAATAATAATTCTGTGTCTGCCATTGTACACTGATACTGACATTGTATATTAATTTGATAAGTATTCTATGCATTATTGGTTAGGGTTTTCTTTTCTCCGTGTACATACATCGTACCTACCGATTTATCCAGCAGATCTGAATCACGAAAGACAATGCGAAACTTTGCTATTAAATTTGATTATAAAACTTAAAAGTAAAATTAAGTTGTATATTCATATATTATATCACGAGAACTATGAATTTAATCGGTTAAACTAGGCTCAGTAGTTTTTTGTTTGGTTTTTGTTGGAAAATGTTGAATGCAAAATAATTTAATAAAATCACGAGACCGCGTAGCGATCGAGGGGTTTTATTTTTAATTATTTTGCATGAAACTATTTTCCAAAAAGAAAAATCAAATAAAAAACTTACTGAGCATAGTTTGACAAATTAAATTTATAGGTTGAGTGATATACGTCTAGATTATTTCTCGAATTAAAGGAAACTATTTGACAATTCATAAAATCTGACGTACCTATGTGTCAAAATTTATAAATATTTTTTTAAAGAAAATTCCATTAATTTAAGGTATGTAAAAAGAAAACTTATTTTTTATTGTTTTTTAAAAAAATGTTTGTTAAAACTTGTAAATAACACCATAAAATCGTAAACAAAAATCCAATATGGAGGCTAAAATTTAATCGCTGTTAAATAGTTCTAGTGATTTAATCGCTTATTTAAACGAAATTTATTTGAAAATTCAAGGCTTTTGATTGGTTCATATTATAATGAGGGAAATAATCTCTAAAATAAACAGAAATATTGAAATTTCAAAATTATTTTTTTTATTTTTAATTCTGACGGCATCTCAAGATTTTTCTTTTAAATTCAAGTTTTGCATGTAGTCAATATGGTATTTTACATTATTACAAATTCATTCATCATAAAAAATTTATTTACCCTTTTTGATCTACCCTAGCACCCGGTCTAAATCTGTGCAAACCCAAAAACATAATCCAAGGGATTTTGCGAGTTTAGTTAAAATAACGGAGCTATAAACAATTAATGTTCATAAAAATGAATCATGCGGTCAACATTCCAATATTATTTTCAATGTTTTGATTTCAAAAGTTAAAAGAAAGAAATTTTTAAAAAATTTAGGAATAATGGACGCACCCCAATATAAATACTAAAAATAATAGTTTTTTTTATATGAAGTTTTTGTTTTTATGTTAGAGGATTTTAAAAATAAAAAAGTTTTTAAACACTAGAAGATAAAAATATAAAATTTAGTTGAATTAAAATATTACTTTTTGCGTTTGCTTTTTGCTTCTATTCTATTTTAGAACCCAAAAAGTCAGTATACTGACTTTTTGGGTTCTAAAATAGTGGTTTAAGACCAGTTGAGTTCTGGCTGGTTATATAATCAAGAACACGCCGATTAAGTAAAAAAAATTATAATTAAATATCGCGAAACAAAATATTTAAAATTTTTATTCTATTTTTTGCACCAAGAAAAAATCAAATTTTAAATTTAAACTGATAACAAGTATTATATTAAATAAATCAAAATTTTTCCAATGTAGACTCTTTTGAAATAGGCCATCAAAAAATCAGGGGTTGTAGATGCATTTAAACCTGTTCTCACTTCGTTATAAAATTGTACAGGCATACTTACGATAAGGACGCAATCAAAGTTCTCGGAATTTTGAATCATGTTAGCTGTATAAAATTGCTCTATTAGTGAATAAAATTTACTTAAATTTGATAAAGAACTTTATTAAAATAGTAACATTATTTCAATTTCAATTAAAAATTTACATCAGTAGACGAATTCCCAAAAACGTTGTATTTTTTTATAAATCAATGTTGCGTTAAGCACTTTTATCGTATTTATACTTTCAAACCTTGATTTTATATTCTTCAAATAAATGCACTGGGATTTATGGGCTCTTCCATGAACTAACTCTCAATAATGTTGACAGAACAGCGCTCAATTGATTGGCGACGACTCCCGAGTCGGGAGTCCCGACTAGAGAACTAGAAAGGATCCGTACAAACTTATGTTTAAGTCTCAAACTAAAAGGAAAAACCCTAAAGGGAAAAGTTTATTATTTTTCTTTATATAAAATTGTTGTTGGATTACCTTACTTAAAAAGGTTTTTCAGCTAAAATTAGCTAACAAAGCTCAAGATGGAAGATGGCTTGTAGATTCGAGTAGGTTAGAAATCTGCGAACATCCAGCAAACGCTGCGGATCTAGGAACTGTACACAACGGAAAATTCAACACCGTAATTTGGCCTTATCTAAAAGGCACTGCCAATAATTAATGCCTTTTCACAGGTTACAGAAATTTACTCCAAGGTATCGAGCAGTCTTACAGGCTTCCACCATTAATCACTTTTCGTTGTTTATTGAAGATGTACTTCAATGGTTTGAGGGTTTAAAATGACAGATTG